TAGGTAGGTAGATAGTCAGAGAAAGAGAGAGAAAGAGAGTGATCAAGCACCTTTCAGTCCATCAGTGGCTTCGCTCTGCAATCCCTGATTCACAACAACCAACCTCTCCTATAGGTTTCCTATTTTTGAAACTTCCGCCACCGCCTTGTGCGGTACTACTGGTAGTGGTTAATAGTGGTTAATAGTGGTTAATGGTTAATCATAGTGAATAATGGTTAATACTCGATTAATCTGGGAAAAATACAATATTTCACTGCCCTGAAATTATTTATCATAAGGCCATTTGGTGATGATTTCCCTTTCCTAACCATGATTCCAGTGAGGCCACGACGTGAGGTCACTATAATTTGCCCAGATGTATTAAACCACTAAAAGAGATGCTTGAACCATTAAAATAGCCACATAAATTGGGGAAATTCCCGGAATTTCTCATTGCCATGTTTGATGACACCAGAGAGTAAGTTGAGTGGGGCCCAAAGCCACGAACATAACTGGTACAATAACCAATGCCAATCACCAACTAATAGTTGATTCTTCTTGACTGGAATTCCAGTGGTGAAATCTCCATATGTTTGTCCCTTCAGTCTCCATGTTTCTAGTAAAAAATCCATCAAATTCCATCAATTTCCCATATGTCTTAAGCTAGATTCCCCCTTTGTTTCCTGAGAAAACTATGATTCCAAGTTGACATTTGCACTTGTTTCATTAACATTTCATTCTTCCAAGTTGATATTTTCCTTTTTTCCCCTCAACACTCAACACTCCACTTTTCCAAATTGAAATGTGCATTTGTTTTCTAGGAAAAGCGCTCCATTGTTCCAACGTTGACATCCCCAAAATTTGGCAACTGCCAAGGCACTGAAATGTGGCCCAGGTGGCAAACTTGTCCTCCGCCACCCGCACCACCACCGTGGCGGTGAAGGTTCCCTCCTGGCCACTTTGAGAACATGGGGACTTAGTGAGTTGGAGATGCAATAGATTTGTCACAATAAATCTACTGTAGGGATATGAATAGATATGAATAGATATGAACAGATATGAACAGATATGAACAGATATGAACAGATACAATAGATTTGTATATGCTTCATAGGTTTTGGCAATTTCATCCATCATTCATCCATCCCTCTATCCGCAAATAGCTGATAACATCAACTGGTTGGTGGTATACCTACCCTTCTGAAACATATGAAAGTCAGTTGGGATGATTATTGCCAATATATGGAAAAATGTTCCAAACCACCAACCAGAGTCGATCTCTTGTCACAATAAATCTACTGTAGGGATATGAATAGATATGAACAAATATGAATCGATATCAGAGTTGTTTTATAGGATAAATAGGATTACGATATAAATATACTTATATATCTTTCTCCTATCAGAGTTGTTAACACATACATCAGGATAATTCAGGATATATAGGATTTCATGGTTAAACTCTGATAATATGTGTTTAACAAACATGGCTACTGTAATAGATGGTGATATGGCCTATGGCTATTTAATCGTGTGCTATGGAAAATCACCATTCTTACTTGGCAAGCCATCTTATTTATCATCTATACAGTAAATGGACCGTTTTCCATAGCTATGTTAAATAACACACCTGCCGCAGCATACCTATCTGGGGTTGACATAAGTAACATACATACCTATCTAAGTACAACCGTGTATTTCTATATATCCGTGCGTGTTTCTAAATAATATATATATATAGTAACAAGTAACAACCAAAAAAAAATCAAAACCATAGAAAAGGATAGAAAAGGTTATATAATGTTCCCGTTTTTTTTAAATAGGTTTCTACTGTGCTCTCTTTTTTTGGGGTTACTACAAGTTTGGTATACTCAACAAACACAAGCCTCTTTCTCTCTCTCGAGTCTGGCTGTCAATCAGCCGTCCCAAATCTGGACACCCCGCTGGTGAAAACAAAAACCCTCATAACTTGCCATGACTTAACTACAACAATTACATACAAATACAACTATCAAAACATTGGCAATGGGAACATCAGCCGTCGTGACTGTCTGAATCCTGTCGTGTTTGCGGTGCTGAGAGGACGCCTTAAGAAAAGAGGATTGACATGTCTTTGTGTAACAAACATAAACTTCACAGATATCAAATGTTGCTAGTAAGCTCTATAGAAATTGCACCCCATTTGTCTACCAAGAAATCAAAAAATCATCACACAACCAAGCTCCGCCCTGTCCTTGTCAGGCCTCACCACCAAGACGGCTCCTTGCGCTTCGACGGCATCTTCCCAAAAGGCACAGGCACTGTCTCCTCTCAGCCGGACGAACCGATGAACCCTTGGATTGGGTCATAACCCTTTATTAATCGTTATATAAGGTATAGATACAACAAACTTACAGCGGATATGATGGTAACCTAGTCCACTATATCATACTATATATATTTATAACCACTTGGCTAGCATTTTTTCCGATCTCAGCAGGGATCATCCGATGGCTGTTGTATCCCCAGCTGTGCCCTGCGCAGTGATGTGTCATCTCAAGCTGTGTTTCCCCATTGGTGAATTGGTGAAATTCACAAGAAAACCTGTGTATAGGTTGGTGCGAACGACAATTACGTTCAAGGTTCGCTCAGATTGTGACAGCGAAGCCAGCTCCAATCCCCATTGGTTCTCATCTTTGTGGGTCAAATTCACCTTTACGGTGAAGTAAATTCCCATGTTTGTTGGAGACGTCCGTAGTTTTGTGCCTGAACTCCCTCACGTCAAGTAGCTCACCTCACCATTCGGAATCAATCAATCCTATTTTTGTCGCATGCTTTCCCCGCTGAAACATCCAGTAGTGGCTTGTCATAGCCAAATGCAAAATGTTTCACCAGGTGACCATCAAATTTCACACATCCAGGCGCCTTCCAAGGGGAAGTTGCGGCGCAGCTTATGATGCAAGGCCGCCGTGGCTTTGCCATCCTTGGACGCAGCCTCAAGATCCGACAAATGTCTGGGCCGGGCCCATTGGGCGTTTAAATTAAAGGACCGGATAACCCCACAAGGCAACTTCTTCCAACAATGAGCACCAAATGTTGTAGCGGGGACAGGGAAAGAAGGAAAGACAAAGTTGTGTGTGTGTGACAAAGTTGTATATGAAAGATGGTCTGTGACAAAGAAAGGTGGTGTGTGTGTGTGACAAAGTTGTGTGTGAAAGCAGGTGTGTGTGAAAGTGCGTGTGTGAAAGAGAGCGCGTGACAAAGCTGTGTGTGAAAGATGGTGTGTGACAAAGTGGTGTGTGAAAGATGGTGTGCCGAAAGATGGTGTGTGACAAAGAGGTGTGTCAAAGATGGTGTGGAAAAAGATGGTGGGTGACGAAGTTGTGTGTGAAAGATGGTGTGGTGAAAGATGGTGTGTGTGACAAAGTGGTGTGTGAAGGATGGTGTGTTAAAGATGGTGTGTGACAAAGTGGTGTGTGAAAGATGGTGTGTGAAAGATGGTGTGTGACGGTGTGTGTGAAAGATGGTGTGTGACAAAGTGGTGTGAAAGATGGTGTGTCAAAGATGGTGTGTGAAAGATGGTGTGTGACAAGGTGGTGTGTGAAAGATGGTGTGTGACAAAGTGGTGTGAAAGATGGTGTGTCAAAGACGGTAGGTGACAAAGTGGTGTGTGAAAGATGGTGTGTGAAAGATGGTATGTGACAAAATTGTGTGTGTGTGTGAAAGATGGTGTGTGAAAGGTGGTGTGTCAAAGATGGTGTGTGATAAAGAGGTGTGTCAAAGATGGTCTGGAAAAAGATGGCGTGTAAAAGATGGTGTGTAACAAAGTGTTGTGTGAAAGATAGTGTGTGACAAAGTGGTGTGAAGGATGGGGTCTCAAAGATGGCGTGTGACAAACACTGTGTGTGAAAGATGGTGTGCCAAAGATGGTGGGTGAAAGGTGGTGTGTCAAAGATGGTGTGTGACAAAGTGGTGTGTGACAAAGATGGTGTGTGAAAGATGGTGTGTGAAAGATGGTGTGTGAAAGATGGTGTGTCAAAGATGGTGTGTCACAAAGTGGTGTGTACAGGATGGTGTGGTGAAAGATGGTGTGAGAAAAAGTGGTGTGTGAAAGATTGTGTGTGACAAAGTGGTGTGAAGGATGGCGTGTCAAAGATGGTGTGTGAAAGATGGTGTGTGTGAAAGTTGTATGTGACAAAGATGGTGGGTGACAAAGTTGTGTGTGAAAGATGTAGTGTCAAAGATGGTGGGTGACAAAGTGGTGTGTGAAAGAGGGTGTGTCAAAGAGGGTGTGTGACAAAGTTGAATGTGAAAGATGGTGTGGTGAAAGATGGTGTGTGGAAGATAGTGTGTGACAAAGATGGTGTGTGAAAGAGGGTGTGTCAAAGATTGTGTGTGAAAGATGGTGTGTGACAAAGTGGTGTGTCAAAGATGGTGTGTGACAAAGTGGTGTGTGAAAAATGGTGTGTGACAAAGTTGGGTTAGGGACGGCGTGTCAAAGATGGTGTGTGAAAGGTGGATGTCGCCAAGTGCCACGCTTGCCACGTGAAACGCAGGTAGATGTCGCCAAGTGCCACGCCTGCCACGTGAAACGAAAGTAGATGTCTCCAAGTGCCACGCCTGCCACGCAAACTGGTGCGGCGCCCCGGGCGACCAACGGCGACCAACGGCGACCAAGCGTGCCACCAAGTGCAACAAGTGCAACAAGTGCAACAAGTGCCAGACGCGCCCCCCGGCAACACACCGGAAGGGCGATTTTGTCGCCACAGTGCCCACGCCATTGCCACGTGAAACGAAGGTGGTGGATGGTACCCAAGTGCCACGCCTGGCGCACGTGAAATGATTGTGCTGGATGTCACGCTTTTGCCACGCCTTGCACCGCCAGAAGTGTGCGCTGGTCGCCTCCGGGGCGACCGAAACGGCGACCCATACCTGGGCGACAACCAACGGCAGATTCAAACGGCGATCCAAACGGCGCCCAACGGCGTACCAACGGCCGACCGAACGGCGACCAACGGCGTGCGACCAACGGGATACACCACAGCGCGCACAACCCAAGTGCAACAAAAGTGCAAACAGTGGCAGACGCAGGTGAGCAAGCGAAGTGTCTCAACTGCCACATGCCAGACACGAGGTCGATGTCGCGCACCAAGTGATGACCACAGCTGTTGGCCACGTGAAATGAAGGTGGATGTCACCTTGTGCCACGTTGCCACGCAAAGTGGCGCGGCGCCCCGGGCGACCAACGGCGACCAACGGCGACCAAGCGTGCCACCAAGTGCAACAAGTGCAACAAGTGCCACACCTGCCACACCTGCCACGCCAAACGCAAGTAGATGTCTCCAAGTACCACGCCTGCCACGTGAAACGAAGGTAGATGCCAAACGCAGGTAGATGTCTCCAAGTGCCACGCCTGCCACGTGAAACGAAAGTAGATGTCTCCAAGTAACACGCCTGCCACGTGAAACGAAAGCAGATGTCTCCAAGTGCCAGGCCTGCCACGTGAAACGCAGTGCCACGCCTGCCGCGTGAAAAGAAAGTAGATGTCTCCAAGTCCCACGCCTGCCACGCAAACTGGCGCGGCGCCCCGGGCGACCAAGGGCGACCAACGGCGACCAAGCGCGCCACCAAGTGCAACAAGTGCCACACCTGCCACGCCAAACGCAAGTAGATGTCTCCAAGTGCCACGCCTGCCACGTGAAACGAAGGTAGATGTCTCCAAGTGCCACGCCTGCCACGTGAAACGCAAGTAGATGTCTCCAAGTGCCACGCCTGCCACGTGAAACAAAAGTAGATGTCTCCAAGTGCCACGCCTGCCACGCAAACTGGCGCGGCTCCCCGGGCGAGCAACGGCGACCAACGGCGACCAAGCGCGCCACCAAGTGCAACAAGTGCCACGCCTGCCACGTGAAACGAAGGTAGATGTCTCCAAGTGCCACGCCTGCCACGTGCAACGAAGGTAGATGTCTCTAAGTGCCACACCTGCCACGTGAAATGAAGGTGGATGTCACCTTGCCACGCCTGCCACGCAAAGTGGCGCGGCGCCCCGGGCGAGCAACGGCGACCAACGGCGACCAACGGCGAACAAGCGCGCCACCAAGTGCAACAAGTGCCACGCCTGCCATGCCTGCCACGCCTGCCACGCAAAGTGGCGCGGCGCCCCGGGCGAGCAACGGCGACCAACGGCGACCAACGGCGACCAAGCGCGCCACCAAGTGCAACAAGTGCCACGCCTGCCACGCAACACGAAGGTCGATGTCGCCAAGTGCCACGCCTGCCACGTGAAACGAAGGATCGGATGTCACCAAGTGCCACGCCTGCCACGTGAAATGAAGCTGGATGTCACCTTGTGCCACGCCTGCCACGCAAAGTGGCGCGGCGCCCCGGACGACCAACGGCGACCAACAGCGACCAAAGGCGACCAAGCGCGCCACCAAGTGCAACAAGTGCAACAAGTGCCACGCTTGCCACGCAGCACAAAGGTCGATGTCTCCAAGTGCCACGCCTGCCACGTGAAATGAAGGTGGATGTCACCTTGTGCCACATTGCCACGCAAAGTGGCGCGGCGACCCGGGCGACCAACGGCGACCAACGGAGACCAACGGCGACCAAGCGCGCCACCAAGTGCAACAAGTGCAACAAGTGCCACACCTGCCACGCCAAACGCAAGTAGATGTCTCCAAGTACCACGCCTGCCACGTGAAACGAAGGTAGATGCCAAACGCAGGTAGATGTCTCCAAGTGCCACGCCTGCCACGTAAAACGAAAGTAGATGTCTCCAAGTAACACGCCTGCCACGTGAAACGAAAGTAGATGTCTCCAAGTGCCAGGCCTGCCACGTGAAACGCAGGTAGATGTCGCCAAGTGCCACGCCTGCCGCGTGAAACGAAAGTAGATGTCTCCAAGTCCCACGCCTGCCACGCAAACTGGCGCGGCGCCCCGGGCGACCAAGGGCGACCAACGGCGACCAAGCGCGCCACCAAGTGCAACAAGTGCCACACCTGCCACGCCAAACGCAAGTATAGATGTCTCCAAGTGCCACGCCTGCCACGTGAAACGAAGGTAGATGTCTCCAAGTGCCACGCCTGCCACGTGAAACGAAGGTAGATGTCTCCAAGTGCCACGCCTGCCACGTGAAACGAAAGTAGATGTCTCCAAGTGCCACGCCTGCCACGCAAACTGGCGCGGCTCCCCGGGCGAGCAACGGCGACCAACGGCGACCAAGCGCGCCACCAAGTGCAACAAGTGCCACGCCTGCCGCGTGAAACGAAAGTAGATGTCTCCAAGTACCACGCCTGCCACGTGCAACGAAGGTAGATGTCTCTAAGTGCCACACCTGCCACGTGAAACGAAGGTAGATGGTGTGTGAAAGATCGTGTGTGACAAAGATGTGTGTGAAAGATGGTGTGTGACAAAGATGGTGTGTGAAAGATGGTGTGTGTGACAAAGATGGTGTGTGACAAAGTGGTGGGTGACAAAGTTATGTGTGAAAGATGGTGTGTGTGTGTGTGAAAGTTGTGTGTGTGTGTGTGAAAGTTGTGTGTGTGTGAAAGTTGTGTGTGTGTGTGAAAGTTGTGTGTGTGTGAAAGTTGTGTGTGTGTGTGAAAGTTGTGTGTGTGTGAAAGTTGTGTGTGTGTGTGAAAGTTGTGTGTGAAAGATGTGTGTGTGTGAAAGATGGTGTGTGACAAAGTTGTGTGTGACAAAGTTGTGTGTGACAAAGATGTGTGTGACAAAGATGGTTTGTGAAAGATGGTGTGTGACAAAGTGGTGGGTGACAAAGTTGTGTGTGAAAGATGGTGTGTGACAAAGTGGTGGGGGACAAAGTTGTGTGTGAAAGATGGTGTGTGTGAAAGTTGTATGTGACAAAGATGGTGTGTGAAAGATGGTGTGTGACAAAGTGGTGGGTGACAAAGTTGTGTGTGAAAGATGGTGGTTGACAAAGATGTGCGTGACAGATGGTGTGTGACAAAGATATGTGTGAGAGATGGTGGTTGACAAAGATGTGTGTGAAAGATGGTGGTTGACAAAGATGTGTGTGAGAGATGGTGTGTGACAAAGATGTGTGTGAAAGTGACAAAGTTGGTGTGTGAAAGATGGTGTGTGACAAAGATGGTGTGTGAAAGATGGTGTGTGACAAAGTGGTGTGTGAAAGATGGTGGGTGACAAAGTTGGTAGTGAGAGATGGTGTGTGACAAAGTGGTGTGTGAAAGATGGTGGGTGACAAAGTTGGTATGTGAGAGATGGTGTGTGACAAAGTTGTGTGAAAGATGGTGGGTGACAAAGTTGGTATGTGAGAGATGGTGTGTGACAAAGTTGTGTGTGAAAGAAGGTGGGTGACAAAATGTGACAAAGATGGTATGTGAGAGATGGTGTGTGACAAAGATGGTGTATGACGCGGAGGCGGCGGAGGAGGAGGCGGAGGAGGAGGAGGCGGAGGAGGAGGCGGAGGAGGACGAGGCGGCGGGATACAGAATCAAAAACAAGAACCCCACACAAAGATGTGGGGAAAAAAACAACAAACATGGGAATTTCACAGGCAAAACATAGGATAAACACGGGAATTTTGCGACAAACATGTGGGAAAATTGGGGATTTCACCAGCAAGAATTGGATAAACAACAGGTTGAGTGCGTAGTTAAAAAGTGTGTATATATACATATATATATATAGTTAATTATATATATATAATTATACATATTAATTTGGATATAAACTGTCCGCATTTGATTCTCCAAAAGTAAATGGTTTCCAATTCAAGTCAATTCTGAATCAGCATTCCTGAATTGGAAAAACACAATTGTTGGGATCATCCTCCTTTCTGACCATTACCTATGGACCTATGGTGAGGTCGGTCGTTGTGATTGCGAGGTCGCCAAAATCTACCAGAATAGATGGGGGTTCCTCATGGGGGAAGGTCATTTACATGTTGGCATTTTCTTTCAAACTCCTCAATATATACATGTTTGGATTTCATGTGGTTGGTGGTCTTAGTCCATAAATTTCAGGTATGAATAAAGAAATGAAGTTCTAAACGAGGCAAAAAAAAAAACAACGTTGACATTGAAACACAGCAAAGCATAGCACATCATATGCATGGATCTAGGTAATGATACGTATACTAGTATACCGTTGGTATATTGTCATACAGTATATCTTCCAACATTACCTTGAATATATGGGTTGGTAGTTGAAATTGCTGTTGCTTCAATGGTTCCAGAAAAAACTTCTGCATCATGCAGGATCATGATCCGAGAGCACAACAGAACAGGGTCAGTTGTCATCCCAGTTGAACGGGTTGAACGAGTTGAACGGGACACAAGATGAAGCCACCAACCGAAACAAAAAACATGTTTCAGACGTGTTCAGTAGGTGCCCATCATTGGAATCATTGGATGCTGCAGATCTGTAGGCCGTAGCCAAGCATCGTTAAAGAAGTAGCCAACGAATTGTCCCGCAACGTCGCCGAACAGCACACTACCTCGGACCAAAAAAAATCAGACCCGGGAGATTTTCAAACATGATAAACATGGGAAACTCAAGAAAACCATTGACTGATCGGTCTCATGGTTCCCTACTTATTCAATAGAAAAGTATGGAAAAGCAATGTTCTGGGCAAATTATAGTGACCTCACGTCGTGGCCAACATTTCAGGTTAGTGAAATATTATATATAAGTTACCCAGATATTATGAATAGCATGATTTTATCTTTCCATTTTTGGAGAGCTATGATTATTATCGATACCCCATGAATATTGATAATCTGGGGGTTTCCTAAAAAAATCGAGGGTACCCCTAAATCATCCAACCCTTCCCCAGAATCGCCCAACAGTGCCCACCACCGCTTGGAGTTTGCCTAACAAAAAGTCAGCCCAAATGGTAGATTAACCATTGGAAAATAATGATGAAAAAGGCACATGCCCTAAACCAAAGCTAGGACACACACACACACAGATATATATATATAATTAAATATGATAGGCTAAAAAACGGAGGTTCTATCCCAACTGGTGGTCAGAATCCCATGGTTCGCTCCATTTTTCATCCCAACTGGATCCCTGGATCGCCAGCTGCAGCGCACCAAGTGACACAATTTTATCAACCTCCAAGATGTCTGTGACTGTAGGACGGCCTCCCCTGGCAGATCTTTCAGGGGATGATCCGGGATGACTGGCTATTTGACCCATTCCTGATTAAAAGGAAACACCCAAACACACATCCAACAAAAACATGGTGGAACACGGTGGAATGTAGTTGGATCTGTTCATTTGACATGGTGGAATGTAGTTGGATCTGTTCATTTTGTGGCTGAATATGATTGTTTTTGAGGGCATTGTTGTTGGGGGGGCCAGAGGTAATCATGTTAGGATTCATCTTCCTCAAAGTGTGATGAAAATAGTTGAACATATGTAAACATTTAAAACTGGGATGACATTTCACCATGTGTCCGGACAGCATTTTTCCATTTGCCAGCCAGACTGTTTCCCAAGAAAACGGACGAAACCACTGGGCACTTGAGATTGCGTTTGTTTGGCATCTGGCCTACCAAAGGCCTTGGATCAAACTATGCCATTCGCCTCCAAGGCTACAATTCATGCTGGGGTCGAGAGCTACCCAAACAGCACACCGGAAAAGCAGCCCTCCATGTGCACAAGTGATGAGAACACTCACATCAGAGCCTGCAACTGGTCTTGCAGTCTTGCCCAAGAAACGCCGACCCCAGTTCCCGTTCGGCAGACTGCGGCCAACAGTTCTTGGTCAGCCCAGTTTGAAGGCTCTGGAAGTTGACACGGCACGGTGCACTACTTCTGCGCGCAGTTGCAAAACCAGCATGCGACGGAAAGGATGATGTCGCGACACCTGGGGTTCGGAGATGGAATGTCGCATTGATGTCCGAAAGCCGCAGCCGTTCCATCACTCTTCAGAAGTGACGCGACAGTCATTCCCTCCTCCGTCCGGGTGGAATTGCCAACACTTTGGCGAAGCACTGAATTCCCACTGCAGCAACCTGGAAAAAAAGGCGGTTTTTGGGACATTCGTCAGGCTGAGGGGTGGCATTGTGCATTGTCCGTAGGGCACGCGAAGCCATCACTTTGCAGAAGCACTTTGTGCAGTGCCCCTGCAGCCATTGCGCAATGATCAAAACTTCTAAAGGCCAAAGATTTAGGGGCGGCAGTGGGTTGATTGAATGGAACATGTGCCGGAAGCGTGTGGTGCTTTCCTGCTAAAGCAGCGAAGCCATTCCAAGACTTGAGAAATGGGCTCGCCATCGGAGCCGCATGCATGGTACATGGCATGTGTTAAATGCAAGGAGCACACTATGCAACATGGGATCAAACATGAGTTCCCTAATGCCAGTATGGAGGTTCAACATTCACCATGGAAACCCTGAAATCCAAAAAGATCATTGGATTACGGAGGGAACAAAAGCCCCTGCCCACATCCTCCAGCAGCAGCCTGGTGAGATAAACTCGCACTCCTTGATTTTGTTTCCGCCCAACGGGCACAAGTGCTGGAACGCTGCACGCACTTCTGGCCTTTGCAGCTTCACGCTTCTCCCTCGAAGGGTCATGTCGATATGGTTTGGTTGAAGGATGTTGAAGGGAACATATACCAAAAACAATGTTTCCTCTATGGAGTATTTACCAGCATTTAGACCATCAAACATCCAAATTGATTGACCAAATGCAGGGACATGTCCGATACATTGGCGATGCATGGAGCATACGGGATAGAGCAAATCATGTGTTTGGCAACAAAAATGTTCAATGTACAGGACACCTTGTTTCCTTAGAACCAAGCCTGGCATCATGAACAAAATTGGCAGACCAGAGATATGAATCCCACCCAATTGGGATGACATCCACCAAACATGCAGATTCACCAGCCAAACTGGACTCAATCCATGGATGAACATGGATAATAAACAACAGAACATCCCCAGCACATCCCAGCTTCAAAGGGTAAATCATCTACTTGGTGGTTGCGTGCTTCAAACATTTCATTACTTTGACAATATCACAAGCCCTGCGAGACTCAGTGGTGTACCACATCCCCCCCTCTCCCACCTGCTTGCCTATCCCACTATAACATACTAATAATATACCATAACGACACAAGATTTCATACCTCTAAACACCAGAGTTGCAAGGGGACACCGTTTCCGCAGGACTTCACACAGGCACGCACGACTTAACCCAAGCACCCAGGAATTTTCGGGATTGTTCATTGCCATGATTTTATACATGCAGCGTAATTATACGGAGGGAAGTCCCACACACTTCACGGATCTGGAAGAAATGTGATAGAAACGTGCCCCCCAGAGCCACACCAATCTCCAAGAATGTGCTGGCTTCAATTTGTGATAATGTGTGTCCTTTGCTTCGTACGACAAGCATCGGTCCAAAACACCATCAGACGTCCAGTCGTTTAAGACGTTCATGAGTCACAAATCATCAGTCTGGTGTTTTTTGCTGCACATCCCGGGTCAAGTCGACCACGTGCACATGACCACCTGACCACCCTCCCGGATCCCCGGATGGATTTTCGCACCTCACGAGGATGTTACCGGTCTTCAGGGGCGCGTCCTCCACGCTGATGGACTTCAGGGTGAATTTGATGAGGTGGCCACCCCAGGGACAAGTACCTCAAGGACTCTCCACAAGGTGGCGCCCGTTACTTTCTTTAAGTTGGTTTGGAACGAATGTTAATAACTATAACTTTGGTTTATATAGTTGATATATTATATATATATAAGAGAGTGTGATGTTTTTTTCCTTTAAATGCACCCTTCGAGAAATTCTGACCTGCAACAATGGGAAGAAAGATCCGGATGATTAAAATTGAGTGATTAACAATAAACATAAATAAAGATTACAGTATCACATATTGTCAATGAGGAGCATGAATAATGATTTCTAGGTGTTGAAAGGGATACACATCAGACATGGCTTGCTGGGAAATCCCCATTTTGAGCGAGATCATTGTCATATACAACTGAATCTCATTGACAAAGCTTGTCTGATGGCAACACAAGAGCTCCAATTTGAAATAACTTAAAGCAAGTTTATCTGGTTCTGGTGTCAATGTGTTGGGATCATCGTCTCTCCCTTCTGGTCATGCAGACATGACATACCACACACAGCACTGGGAATGGGGCTCAGTGAAACTGGATCTTCAAAGGTTGCTGAACTCTCCTTCATCCAGGCGTAATCTTGGGACCTCTCTCTCCCGCAGATGTCATGTTCATAAATCCCCAGTGGAAAAAAAAGTGCAGTTGGTAAATTGACCATATAACCAAGTAATAACCAAGTAAAGGGTGGATATTTATGATATTATATAATGGGATGTAATGTGGTAAAGCCAACACTAAACCATTCCCAATTGGGGTTCATTATTGATCTACTCCTATGTGCGATGATGTAAAATGACCACCAAATGGCCGGTTGATGGGATTACCACCTCGGGGGCTACCAGCCACTCAGGGGATTTATCATAATGATGTAGTGGTTGGTGGTTTCTGTCGCAGTTTCAACTCCTCTGAAAAATATTAGTCTGTTGGGATGATTATTCCAAACATATGGAAAAATGAAAAATGTTCCAAACCACTAACCAGATATGATAGTCTATCAATGATAGTTTATTCATGTTAGTAAATCAAAAAGAAACCAACCATATGGATTTATCGTTTATACTGTACATTACTGTACCATACATTTATTTATGGTGATTTTGAGGATATTTTACCATTGCTGTAACCACATGGTAAACTAACATAACTATGGAAAACAATCATGTTTAATAGGTAAATCAACTATTTCCATGGCAATTTTCCATAGCTATGTTAAATTACCAGAGGGTACATAGTATCACCCCCTTTGCGCATCTCCTTTGGCCGGGTCACAGTGCGAGAGGTTGGCCTTGGGTCGCGCCAAAGCCATGGACCAACCCTCGGAGGACAGCAGGTTGGGCACCAGCTGCATCCAGTCCTCCCAGGGTTTCGCCATGGGAAGCATGGGAAAACCCATGGGAAAACCCTCGGAAAACATGGGGAAAACCATGGGAAAACCCAAGGATGAAAGTGATGAATATTGCATCTGCCAGACTTTACCATTTCCCCCCCAAAAAAATAAAAGTCTGAGAGGCATGGCTGGGAAGCACCATGTAGTTTTTTACCAATCCCTCATCACTCGCAGGTTTCCCCACACTGACCTCAACAGACTCCGGTCGGAATGCCATGTTTTCGGATGGAGCGAGCGGGGGGGAGAACAGCGCAGGATGAGAGCTGAGCTGAGGTTGAGCCAAAGGTGGTGAAGGTGCACCGAAGCACAAAATATGGTATGTCGTCCTCCTCCTCCTCCTCATCATCATCATCATAATCATGAAAATCATAGTATATACAAGTGGAAGGGTTAAGTCATAGCATTTCGTTTTAAGTCATTGCAGGGGTCTTGTTTTCGCATGGAAACGCTGCGAACGTTTTAAGTCATAGCAGCTCCGTTTAAGTCATAGCATTTTTATGGTTTCACCATGGAAACGCGTACGGGATGCAATGGGTTTTAGGATCCTTGTTGTTCTGTTTAGCATGGCCTGACGGTGAAAGGTATATGTCCAGGGCATGTTTTGCACATATGTTTTGTGTACAAGTTACAATGGAAACGCGTGTTGACGATGGATATGTTGAGTACAGTTCATAAGTGAAAACCCAATGTCACAGACATGATTTGAAGATGTCTAGGAACGGCAATTGCGATGCCAAACACCATGGAAACGCGAGCGCAGGAACCATGGTCAGATTAAAGTTGGTTTTCGCAGCTAGGATGTGTTTACAAGCAGTTTTAGATATATCCGGTTCTGCTCCTGTCACGGACAGGGCAAGCAAAAGCAATCAACAAAACATACTAAAAAAAAACAAACGAAGACTAGTCACGAACGAGGTCAGAACGAGATCCGAACGAGGTACCAAACGAGGTCAAAAACTACCCGGGACAGACCCTTACCCAAATGTTTGAATCCTGGCCAATGCTGATAGACAAAGAACCTCGAAAAAAAAAGAGCACCGCATGGCACACACTCATCCAAGAGCAAAGACAACATACATGACTAACCCAAAATGTTTAAACGTGATACACCAGAATATATCACTTTACATACTATTTCATGCTATTCTATCATATTTACCTTACCAATCCTCACAAACATATATGTTGCGAGAAAAAAAAGCGACGCATGGCAGACACACATCTAAGCATAGAAACAATATACATAACTTATCCAATATGTTATACTATGATGCTCCCCAATATGCCTTTCCGCAAGGCAGACGCTCATCCGCTACGACTTAACACACGATGCAAGGACTTAACCCTAGTACCTAGTATATATATATAATATAGCATACATACGTATATTATTGCAATGCATGTCTTTTAAAATGCCTTTCTTGGGTGGTAACATGTTGCAAATAGATTTATATTTCAGACACTTGACACATACTCATGAGGACAAACAAATCCAAGTCGTGCTGCGGTCGCAAACCACCAAAGAATTGCTCTAAGACTAGATGCTACCAAGGAAAGACCTGGTATCTCTCTCTCTCTCTCTCACTGAATTTTGGCAACTCCCTTCCCTCCCATAGTTCGCCAAACAATATCAACATGTTGCCTTACTATGCCACACCTTTTCAAAGCTGTAACTTGCACACTTGACTCATCCCCGGTTCCGTCAAGCACCGCAATCTCCCATCCAATCCATCCCTCACATTCTTCCCCACATATCTTGGAGTTGTTTATGATCATTCAAGGGCCAAGAGAAAGCGATGGGGATGCAGTAGCATTTGTTGAGGGGCACCCATCCCCCCATGTACAACGTGCAGCACTTGAAAAACTCCGGGTTGGAGTGTTAAGTCCTCATGTAAAATGGGACTAAACAAGCATTATTGGATGATTGGTGGAAAAACATAGGTATATTTTTTGGATGTAGCTATTCCACCCTGCCCACATAATTCCCATCATCCTTTCAAGAATATACATCTACAAATTCATTTCAATCTTGAAGGGTAATGTTCACATCAAATTCTGAATCCCCATCACCATAAAGTTTTAGGTGTGGTTTTTAATTTGATGTCAACATGACCCTCTAGCAAACGAACATAGCTGTGGAAATCACCATGTTGATATAGTAATATAGTATATATATATATAATAGGTAAATAATTAATCGAACACCATTTTCCAAAGTAACATCTTAGTTTACCAGCGGATATATGTTCATATTAATCCCAGATTGTCAGCCCCACTGTAATTGTTAAGTGTATAAAACTCAAACATGTTCTGTAATTGTTAAGTAAGTCCCACTGTAATTGTTAAGTATAAGCCCCAGAGGATGTATGTTAATATCCCATAGGATCCATGTATGCTATATATGGTAACATTTACCATCAATATACCCCAGTCATGTTAGCATATATACCAGCACCATGGATCCTATGGGTAATAGTGAATAATGGTTAATAATGGTTATATATAATAATGGTTAATAATGATTCATCGTGGTTAATAATGGAATATATCATAATATATAAGTTTAAGTATATATATATATATATATACCCCAAACATTTTCTGTAATTGTTAAGTATAAGCCCCAGAGGATATATGTTAATATATATATATATATCCCCATATAGCACGATTCGCATCCCAGGCCCAGGCTCTTCGGGTCCCTGATAGGCGCGCTGTCGCCATCGCCCCGTGCCGCTTGCCCCGCTTGCCTTGCCCTCTGGAGGTCGAACCTTCACTGCCTGGCGCTTCGACCAAGGAAAAAGTGTGGTTTTCACCATCCAAAACTGGGATTTATCATGCTTAATCCATTAAAAATCCATCCAAAACAGGCTTCTCCATCAAGAAATATGGATTCAATCATCAAAAACTAAGATTTATCATGCGTGTTCCATCAAGGTGGATTCATTCATCCAAACCTTGTATTTTGCATGATTTAACCATCAAGCACGATGATTTATCATCAATAGATTTGATTTCACCACTATAAAACACACATGTGGATTTACCAATGATTTACCATCGAAAATGTTGGAGTTTAGATCCAAATTTCAGGAGTTGACCGTGAAAAAACTCTGGACTTCATGAAATTGCGTTTCTCCAGAAATAGAGCATTCACACACACACAAAGTGGGCATCTACAGATGCCACAAAAACATGGGGATATAGTGGGAACTGGTTCGGATACACAAGCAACGACTTCACACAGGTTGGTCCAGAAATGGGATGATAACAGTATATACTATCTACATCTAAATTTATAGCCATTCAAATCCGATTGAACTTGTTGACTCTGGAAATGGTACCCTCTGGACCCTCTGGTAAAGGTTTTCAGTTTGCTATGGGAAATCACCATCTTTACATATTTTGTCCTAGGTAAATCAACCAGACATGGCCATTTTCAATAGCTTTTTCTATGACCAGAGGGTCACCCAGGGGGGAAAAAAGGGGGCCCGACCTCAAGGGACACAGCGGAACCAATGGAATCCGGCGCTGATCTTTGTCTGCCTCGGCTGCTTTGGCATCAATGTGGTGATTCCCGGAGTGGTTCCCAGTGATGTTCGTTGGTTTTAAATATGATCCTGGGATATAGACTATCTATCAGAAACTATCAGTAACTGGTTGGTGGTTTCAATCCCTCTGAAAAATATTAGTCAGTTGGGATGATTAATTATTCCCATATGGAAAAATAACAAATGTTCCAAACCACCAACCAGATATAGACTATCTATCAGAAACTATATGGCTTATATATATATGGATTATAGAGTTATAAACCAACTTGGCTTTTTTGGAGGGCACCACCTTGCTTGTTCATGACTGTATTAAGAACTTCGGCCAACATCTGTTGATTCTTGTTGAGGAAGTTTTGAAATGTGACGCCCCACCAGCTTGGAAGAACAAAGTTTTGATCAAATATGCAGAATCCGTCTGGTGCCGCTTACCATGTTTACCAAGAGGTTGTTCACTTCATCATTGAGAGCTACCCCCTCACATATCCACTCTCTTTCCATCTCCTTCTCAAAGAGTTCAGCAGAGCCAAAATCAGGTGTTACCTACTTGACTCATTGAAATTCAATGGTTTACAGAAATTCTTTCAGTTGCATATATCCCAATAGGCTCCCCAATAGGCTCCCCGTTCCGGCTGGTCTCTTCCGAGCATATCCCATGAATATATTCGTCTGGGTCCAAATGGGGTACCCCCAAAAAATGGAGGATTGATACTAAACATAGGCTAGCAATGACATCTGTGGCCCCCCGGAGTCTGAAAAAAATTGACCCATCATAGCCCCATTGAGACGAGATGCCGGGCACCCGAATCACCGCTCCCAAGCTACTGGCGATGTTTCCTCGTGGCGGGGTTCAGTTTCCGGAGGCTGCAGGTTGAGGATATCCTGAATTCGGTGGGATGAATGATACTTTGTGAATTGAGAGACCCATGGTAGACATGGATGGCAAAATGATGCGACATTGAACTCAAATGAACTGCATATGGTCAGGCGAATTCTTGGCCAAAAATCTTCGGCATCTTAATGGTCCCGGAGTCTTGTGGAAATCAATCAAGGGTTATGGTCCGTTTATTGGTTTTCAAAACCATCATCAAACACCTATAGCGTACTGTTAACGCCTACAATTTCCCCTACATTGGCAACTAGATGATACTAGATGGTGGGTTAAGCCCCAGAATCCACTCGTCACCACTCATCCAAGAAGAGCAACTGGAATGGCTGGGTCAAAACTTTTAAGGAACCCAAAAAACTAAGGCTGGTTGGTGGTTTCAACCCCTCTGAAAAATATTAGTAAGGTTAGCATTATTTTTCCCAATATATATATATATATGTATACAGAATATATATATATATACAGTATAAATATATATATATATGGAAAAATAAACAATATTCCAAACCACCAACCAGGAGGGGACTAATCCTCTAACGAAACATGACCAAAGTCTGTGCTACCCTGGGCAAACCTTGACCCCAGGGCCCCATGATCAACTGGGCCGTGCCGCTACCATGACTTGCGGCACGTCTGAAGGCACCACCCGCCATCACGAAACCTGGGAAAGGAACCAGAAATGGACGGCCCTTCAAATGGCAAACCAATCAGATTGGGAGAGACTTGGATGTTTGAAGATGTTTGGTGATATTTGATGATGGTTTGGTGATACTTGGTGATGTTTGGAGGTTGAAGAGCTTAAGTATCATATACTTGGTATATACAATCATAATCAATCATATACATATACCAATGCTAAAGAAACCTCTTTGTTAATGCCTTCTCCGGTTCGCAGGTGTGGAGAGAAGCAGGTGTTCTCTGGTGTCTATGGTGAAATTTCCGTGCCCAGAAAACCCTTGGCATTCCAATCGTTGGCTCGTCAACCTACTGTAACGTCTATCTACCTACTTCATCCTACTTCCTGTTCTTGAATGTCATTGAATGAACCTATGAGGAGCCCGATTCTGAGTCTTCATCAAACAATCAGTCGCAACAACTAGTTACTGTGACCAACTTGAGCTGCTGTGTGTCGCTACCCTGTTCCATGCGCACCTGAAGGTCGCGAGCTGTTCTCGGACAAGCTCCGCTTGGTTCCTCGGATGTCCACGGTGTTGGTGTTGGCTGTTGCCACTTTACGCTGATTCTCTGGGTTCTTCTTATTGATTTCCTATTTTTCTTGCTCTTGCTCTGTTCTGGTTCTTCTTTAAAACATGTGCTCTTCGTCTTTTGCTGCGGCAGTTGATATGCTGGTGGCGAAATGCTGCAGCCAAGCTGCTTCCACCGCCCATGGTTTCAAAGCCAAGCCTCAGGCCACGCGGCACTGCGCTGAGCTCACAGTAGTGTGATTCACCACGGCCAACTTTCTCTAAGGGCGATCCGCAAATGGATTTGGGAGAGCTTGGAGATTTCCCAAACCCCTGGCCAACCCACCATTCATGGTCGCTTCACTTGCAAGTTCCGACCATGAAGAACCGCAGTCGTGACTTGAATTTCTTGCCAACCGCTTGAGTTTTCCTACGCATGTAGTCTACAAGTGCGTTTTGAATCATGGCACATGGGGTAACTCCCTCATAATTGAATTGCGACCACTTCCCTGAGAAAATCTCAGTCATTTAGGATCATCCTCTCGAAATAAACGGGAAAATACGTACATATGTATCACTGCATACACACACACACAAAATACACGTATATAATGAATTATGCATACATTATGCATGCCATATATTACCATATACAATGTGCACATCTTTGAAAGCACCAACCCCACTTGCCGGCGTTCCCTTTTTCATGGGGACAGGTCTTGGGCGGTTCGGCTTTCCCGCCACTTCAAGTAGTTCTGGTGCAACAGGCTGGGGATCCTCGAGGTGTCGTGGCTCTGAAGAAAGGCCGCCACGCCCTGTTTCGACACATCCCAGGCATTCTCACCGTACTTGGACTCCATGTGGAGATCTGCACGGGCATCCAGCAACAACCTGAACTCAAAGGCTGCACCAGAAAAAGTTGCCTGAAGTAGTCCTTAAGGGGGTCATATGTTTCCGGTTAGTTAGTCGAGGTAGTAGATATTATGTCTATATATTTGTATATAGGTGTGTTTGCCACAGTATACACATGTTTGGCACCCATATAATCATAGCATACTCAAAGGTAAAAAAATACCAAACCAGGAACTCAATCATCTCCGCATTGCCTCGAATGGCGGCATAGTGCAGAGGAGTTTCCTGGAGCTGCCCAGGAAGAGTGGACATCGACAAAATGACCTTTATGGCAACCCAAGTCGTAGAAAACTGGGAACATTTGGAAATATGTGTTAAAGATCATCTATAAACCCTCCTGGAAACACTGTTCGATCTTTTTGGGCTGTAAAAGGATCAGGAGATTCGTAGCCAAAATCTGTGACTTGGGGATTCCAAGGGGAACTGCTATGATTCGAGCTGGACATGTTGAACCCTTCGTGCTGACACAAGCGGTGGATCCCCAAACTCCGGGACCAGCACTCTTTCAAATCTGATAGTCTATTTCACTTGGTAACCCAAAGTTCCTAAGCATCCTACAGGTGGTGCGCCGGCAATTATAAGTTGGCTTGAAATGGCTTAATTGATATAACATGATATAACATGTTCATTTTCCATAAAGCCCAGCAAAATAGTAATAAACAAATTTAGCAAACAAACTGGGACCCAACTTCTAAGTGATCATCAAATTCAAAGAAAAACCCTACGCAAATGGATATTCATCTCCCCAAATTCATGGTACTTCAGAAGTTTTGGCAATTTCATCCATCATTCATCCATCCCTCTATCCACAAACAACTAATAACATCAAGTATTATCTAGTTGACAAGTCAACCCCAGTCATATAGGATAACCAGTCTATAATGGCATGATGACAATAAATAGTTCGGATTAACAATACCCCCAAATTAGTAAAGCCGATTTGTGCCCAAGTATTTAATTTGGGAAATGCTATAATAGATCATATATGATCATATGCTACCTGGTGATTTCGCTATTTCGCTCTGGAAAATGATGGAAGCCATGGCCCATTTAATCCGATGATTTCCAGAGGGCAACGGGGTTTTGCATCCAACAACTCGTCCTGCATGGAATCGGTGGCATTCAGCAAACATCCATGGGCCAAAAGATACTTGGCCGCCTCAATGGAATCTGCTGCTACGGCCTCGTGCAGACCTGGCAGAAAATCTATGAAGGGCGCTAAGAAAGAAAGTAAAATTCAAGTAGTTTCCAATGAAATATGATAGACAGGATATATAATATAATATATATATATATATACATATTAAATATTCATAGATAGATATATATATATATATTATATAAATAGATATGGATATAAGATATAGATAAATATAGTTTATATCAACATGGAATTCAAACATATATCAATGATATAGCAACCCCGATTTTGGATAGTTTTTGGTAATTGTCACAATCATGTTGGTAGAATTTGCATGAGTTTGCCAAATTCTATATATATTTTAGTTGGTTGCTATGTATATAATATGATATGCATATACAAATACAATGTATTGCAATATCGCACCTGTACAAGAAGTTCCGATTCCAACTGGTGACTTTCCATGGCCATATATGGCCATATTGAATCTGAGAGAGGGCACACCATACCACGGTGATAGTTGGGTTATCTTCCCAAAGTTGGAGGACCCAGCTGAGCAGCATAATGCAGCACATAAATTTCTCCATTTTTCCATTTATGGTGTCAAAAAAAAAGGTAAACAAAAATACATACACAATGATGCGGTTCAAACAAGTTCCAAAATAGCAAAGGTGTGCCATTGCTGAATTACTTATACTTATTATTCTATATTATTCTTGCGGAATGAAAAGAAGCAAAACTTAATCTACCATTCATCTATGGTTTAGCCAAAGCCCAAGTGGCTGGATTGTCCCAGAGAACACTTGGCCAACTCGGAATGGATGCTGAAGCGCGGCAGCGTCAGCAATTCCTCCAGGGTGGTCTGCTGCAAGCAGTTGGCGGCCCCCGAGGCTGCGAAGGGCACCAAATGACAGGCAGCCCAGCGTTGCATGCGACGTTTCAGCTTCACTTGGCCACAGGAGCCGTGGGTGTTGTTGATGAAATAAAGGACATCTTTGGCACATTCTTCCGAGGAACAAGAAACTTTGGAGATGTTCAGGTGAAACATGGTTTCCTTGGCAGGCAGAATTCGAGCTCTGCTCATGGAACTGTAGCGCAGGGCCTCAAACAGTACTACCAGAAAGGGTACAGTATAGCCTCAGCTTCTTTCATAAAGGAAAGAACTACGAAGTTGCTGGTAAATTTCCTATATAATAAACTCGTTTCAGTCAAGTGGACCCACATGATGTCAACAAAGGAGTATTTGATCAACTCCAAAACTATTCACAATGTCCCCCAGAATTATATCTCAGTAATTCTTGATTATGATTAAGTGTTCATTGGTTTGAAATGGTGTCCCCCATGCGAATCAACAACATCTTCAACTGGTGCGCAAAAAAAAAATCTAACACAGCAGCCACAACCTGTCACAACGAACTGCGCTCCAAGTCTCCGTAACCCTTGGATCCATGGCCCCAAATTTGGAATGGCCATTGGGAAAAAGTTTTGTACACGCCATGACTCCAGTATTGCAAGCCACATAAACATCCTGTCCCAAACGCATAGCGCACTCCAAGCTGTACAACCTGAGGCGCGCTCAAAAAGGCCGCACTAAGGGATGCTCCAAATGATGCAGAAACAGGAGTAACACCTTTGGATGTGTTTTCTATGTGGAAAAAAGGTTGGTTTTGCGCTTCCAAATTTCACTGCTTTTAGAATGTTGATTCAATTTATATAATGCTGGAAACGTGTAATGAAAGTTGTTGGACGTGGGATGTTGGGATATATTGGGTATGTTTGAAAGCGGTGCGCAACCAAGCAATTCTGCCGTTGAAATTCGAAATGTCGAACCGGAAGCATATAGCGCCGAAGATGACGTTGAGATTGGGCATCAAAGACTTGCTCCATCTTTGAACTTGTCTCAGGTGAAAATTACACGGGAACCGTCCGGTTGGCTCGATTTCCCCATCTCCATTCTCACCGGTGGCCGTTTTTTCCCCAACATGCCAGCTATAAGAGCAGCAACTGCGGTATGGCTGTTAGAAGTAGCGTCACAATCTTAGTCATGGGAGTTGTAACCCCAATTAGGTATGGGATGGTATGTGTTTGCCTAACATTGACGCACCCCAAAATGAAAGTTTTCCCCATTCAATGGCAAGATGATTGAATAAATCCATCATGTTCAGACACGGGAAATTCCATTCTCTTCGTTGTGAAGTGATTAAGTATGGTGAACATCATTCCTTTTTCCATAAGCAAGAACCATGCTTTTCATTGGTGGTTGGACTATGGACAGATCATTTTACAAATCACCATGTCTGATGGTAAAGCCACATGTGTTATTGTACATTAATTTCAAGACGATTATAAACCCTCCGGTTATTTAACATAGCCATGGAACATGGCCCATTTATAGATGGTTTGCCTATTGAACATGGTGATTTTCCATGGCTATGTTAAATAACCAAATGGTAAATGTGGTGAACTCATTTTTGAAAACCAAGAACCACATGTTTGTTCACCTATTCACTGATATTCATTGGCTAAAGTGGGGATAAATCACCAATGTTTCATGGTAAATTCACACCGGTTCACCACGTTTGGTGGTAAAATCACCGTGAAACAGCAATTATGTTTATATATAGTGTGTAAATAATGTAAAACGACACGTGTTCACCATGTTTCATGGCGTTATAGAAACTCCAACCTGCAACAAGCATCCACAATATTGAATCAAACATCATCAAACTAAGGCGAAATCGAAATCCTCATGTTTTATAGCCAAGAACCACAATGTTTTCACCGTCTTTGGTCAAAAAGATGGTCCCCCGGTGAGTGAAAACTCCAAGGACCAAGGTACCGCCACGCGCGCGACATGCTAAAGGGCTCGGCCATGGGCTCCAGTGAGCAGGGCGCGGCCGCGTTGTCCTTGCAAATGCCTTGGGGAAATGCCACGGAAAGGAGGGGCCAAAACGCGAAAAAAAACGTGGAAACAGGTGAAATTCTGGGAAAATGTTGGAAAATGGTGCTTTCAACAAGTCATAAGATTGTTTGACCCATAAAACTATTACAAAACTGGAGGAGTTTGTCAAAGGAAATGAACACATGATTAAACCTAATAGTGGATTTGTCTGCCACATCCATGTTCTTTTTTCCGACGCCGCGCTCCCGGCTTAGCCACTGGATTGGTCTAGAAGAATTCTCTCTCTCTCTCTCTCTCTCTCGCGTTCTAGAGGAATATTGGAACCCGTGGTTTTCTCTTGGGTTTTTCTTCATCCGATTCTGGGATAAATGATAAAAGATTAAAATAATGCCCAGATGAAGAATCACTGGAAAGCTGAAAGCAAACAAAGGAATCTTAACGTACCATCCCGAAATTTCCCATTGAAATCCATTGAATATCATCTTGGATTTTTCCCACCAGGCATCAACATGCCACATACATACAGTGATATTCCCATAGGTTATCCCCAAGCAAATCCCCCCCGACAAACCCGAGCTGCTCCCGGCCGTGATGAGGAAGCTATGACACTCGCATTGGGCGCGGTCCACCGTTAAGTTCCCGTTCTCGTAACAACAGGCACGAAGGTCCTGGTGTCGTTCAAAAATGGATGGAGCAGGGTATGTCTCAGAATTGGGGTATCCTGGGTATCCTACAATCATTGGTTTCTCTAGGAAAAATCACCAACTTGTTCCTGATTCAGTGATCATCGCAAAATCGAAATCGCTGGAGATCTGGATCAAAACAGCACTTCATGATCAGCTGAATCAACTGTTTCAACTTTGATCCTATCAATTTTCTGGCCATCAATGACCACAGCGGTGGCTTGAAACCTGTCTGCAACATCGATTAGGACGGTCCTCAACAGCTTGGAATTGGTTGTAGCCAGTGAGGTTGAACCACAGCACCACGGTATCCTTCAAGAGCAAAGCTTCCGCAAACCACTCCTGAAGTCGAAAGAACTGGGAAAGGTATGGATAGGTGGCTGATAGTAACAGGTTCCCACGGGTTTCTTCATGTTTCTTCAGTGGCGAAACAAGTCAAAATGGAAGTAGATTAAGATCATGAAGAAACAATGCCTTTGGCTTCCATTGGCTTCCAAGTTGTCATTTCCCCTACCCCAGCCATGGAAATGGGGGAACATTTGGTATCCAAGGCTCGACGGAAGACATGACATCCGAAAAGAACATGCCAAACTGATAGTTCACGCCTGGCAGGGCGAGCAAACATCAAATGACGGAAATGCAACAGAAATTGATGTTGGAAGTGCTAGAAAAATGAAGGAATCAAATCAGCCGAGGTACAGTAGTCCGGAATTTGCGGGCCATCAGCCACCAGCTCCACATATGAACATCTTCGCTTCTCGGTTTCCTCCCACGGTGTTTTAAATTCAACCATGTCAATCTGCCAGCTGCCAGCAGTCCTTCTTGAGAGTCAAATTGCAGTTTCTCGCTACTCAACTCTATCCCCATTGTTGTGTGGCAAACCTGCTGCATTCCCCATCTTTTGGATATCTAACATGTGATTTCTCTTGGTTTCATTAGTCGAACAATACCCTTTTTCACCTGATCACTTACACATAATTACGCCATCTGACGGCTACCGAAGACCAACACCGTGTGCCGTCCTTCTTGATGGTTGAATCCCAATTGGTTGCTCCTAAAAACATCAAGAACAAAAAACAAACATTTATCTTCGCTTCAGCAGTTGTCGTAGTTTTAATATGTTTTAATCAATCATCTATACTCAACCCACATATATGATGTTAACCTCGAGTTGGAACACCACCTACCGGTGGTCCTTCTTGATTATTATTCTTGATGATTCGATCGTAGATGGGGTCATAAACCAACTGGTTCCCCCTTCCTGTGCCGGTGGCCCTTCTTGAAAGTCAAAGCCCGTGTTTATGGGTACTCTAATATATTATTCATAGTATATATATATAAGATATATATATATATATACACTATATATACACATTCCATATATGATATACACTCGCGCTCTATTTATATATATATATATATATACATATTCCATATATTTCCATATAACCGGGTGTATCATGATTACCCATTTCCCATGCCTGGGTCCCGCCCCCAGCCCGTTATCGCCTTCTTGACGACCAACTCACAGATCTGCGCCACCGTAAAGTGATCCCAGGGTGTCTTCGGGTGCAGCTTGGCCATCTGCCGATGCGCCTTGCGCGCGAAGGTCCGTAGCTGACCCAAGGTGATGCCACGGTGTCCCACGTAGGGAATGCTGCAGCCAGTGACCTTCTTGCCTTAGGGATGCAGATGGGGGATGGGCTGGGGACTTTTGAGCCATATATCATATAGACATGCAACATACTGGAAACATGCTTCTGACCTCGCTGAAGCCTCAAACACATGTGATTTCAAGTATCTAAGACCAGCCCAAATGGAATTTGAAACAACAAAACAGCCTTTGGCTGGAGAAAGAATGGGCATTTCACCGACAAGAACCGGGAGTCAGCAACCAAAAAACCTAACTCAATCCATTCTACTGGGTCATACTGGGTCTTACCTCAGCGACATAGGTAGGTGAAATCTCAAGAAAGTTGTTGGTTTTCCCAAAAGATAGGGGATCCCAGCCAACAAAAATCTGGATCATCTTATTGCAGTGTAACATCCTGTTCGTCTGAAGGGTTCCTCATACATTGACATGGTTTTCCCAAACATAGGTCCAGTTGGGGTGGACATGGCTGATCATGGCTGGACATATGACATGCGTTTGAAGCGTCAAACATGTGGAACCACCAGGTTTTGAATGTGTCATCATTAATTATTTCATGTTTCTATGTCTATTCTTGTAAAATTTGACAAGTCTCCCTCAAGCATATTATGATGCATAAAAAAACATAAATGTCTTGAGTCTTAACATTTGCTTATCTTCATAGTTTGACGTGGTCACTGGTCACTGCCAGCCAACATTGCATTTTGATGTACATCCGCAAGACTACAGATCGTTTTGAGAAACCTGGACCGAAGGGAATACAGCAGAAACAAGTATGAGGGGGATATATCCTTAAAACATGATAAGAATTCCGCATCTCACCCTTCCTCTTGTAAAATAAACACGGCAACAAAATAGACATAATCAGCTCGATGATCTCCCTTCTGAAATTATGTATTTCCTATTTGCCACTCTATCACCATAGATATCTTCTCCAACCCACCTGAACTTTCCATCACAAAAAAAACATCATCCATGAATCCAACCAAGTTGCGTTGACCAATGCGCCCCAGCACCGACACGCGCACGTCCATGTTCAACGCTTCAAAGGCATCGCTGTGCGAACTGAGAATTCCCCATTTGCTGCAGTCACAGTCTTCGGCCTTTGACAGCTGCGGCCGACCGTTCACCTGGGCTAAGGGGATTGCTCAATCACAGGCGGGTTCAAAGGCTGAGAGCATTTGTACCATCTTCTGGTACATGTCCACGTTTTGAGGAGGAAGGGACAATATCGTAAGAAAAAACGAGAAGTGTTAAATGTTGAAAAAAAACAGTTATAAGTTATAAGTTATAGTTGAAATAGCGTGAAATAAGAAATTGGGAGTTGCGTTGCGGCTTGTTTCGCTTGTTTCGCTTGTCTCGCAATCCAGGTGGCAACGTGCAAATTCCCACAATCATCGGTCTGCAGGCCACAGGTTTCGGGTACTTCCGCGATGAAATTCATGATCCTTGGATGAAGCCCCAGGGAAATGATCCTTGACGGTGCCTGTAAGTCTGAAAACATGGGTTACCCTCTGGCAAACGTACAAAAAATAATGGAAAATCAAGATTTTTAATGGGTCAACTATTTCTATGGCCATTTTCAATAGCTATGTTAGTTTACCCGTACACTAACTTGGCTGGCTGGAAGCTACTATCGTTTAAAAATGGCGGTGTCCAATTGCCAAGCCTGGATTCACACCAAAGCGCCAGCCAGTGAGGAACTACTTAAGTAATCATGGGATACACTGCTGGCTTAATGCAATCTTGAATAATTTATCTTGATCATCATCGACAATGGTTGAACCCATTTTCAAAGAATGAATTAGTCCCCAACCCGATAGGAAACACCCAAAAAAATGTCTCGTATAGCACTGTTTCCCACTGGATCCCATTTAGTCTATAGAGTCTATGGTTATTTCGCTGGCGATATTACTCCCATCCCCCTTACATTAAACACCACACACTAATCCCATCCCCTAACATTAAACACCCCCATTGTATAAATGGTCCCAATCATGTGTATATACCATAGAGAACCTAACATAGATGTGGAAGAACAACCATTTGTAGATCATGTTCCTAGGAGAAACCATAGGATTTCCACATCTACGTATGTTCATATATGTTCATATTACATATGTTTACCCCAGGTTAACCACCCTGCTAAACTTCATCAAATCATGGGGTTTCTGGATGTTTCTGGGGTGGGGCGCCAAGGAGCTGTCGCTTGTACGCCGTCTCGGCCGCGTGGCTCTTCCGCACATCCCAGCGGCTGATGGCGTCCACCAAGGGGCCGGAGGAAACGGCTGCGGAGCCCACCATGCCTGGTGAAGAGAAGGGTTGAGTCCCTGCCAGGCCTGGAAAAATATGAGGCAATTGGGGTCATGATTGGAGGCTTTGACTGTCCATAAAATAATGATTTGTGTCGTATATGTCATATTGATGAATCATAGACATCTATCCCCTCGAAATAAATGCTCATATATTAATCATGATTGATCTGTATCCATATGCTCAGTTCCTATTTTGTTGGCTTGAAAATCCTCCACCACTGTGCCTGTGGAGGTATAGAGTTGGAGCTCCTTCTCTCGCAGGATGGTGCAGTGCAGCTCCAAACCTGGATTTCTCTGAACGCTGATTCATCATACATTCCCAAACATAATTGAAAGCCAGGAAATTGATAGATTCTCTTACGCTAACCATGGTATTTACCGCGACTTGAACTGCTGAAAAAAAACTATACAGCCTATAGTATACATTGACCAAACATTGGTCTCCTCTAATTCACGGGTTTTCTCCCACTCCACGTCATAGCCGAGCATCAACACCAGCTCCGCGTGAGGGACCCCGCATCACGATCCACGATGAGAATGGTGGCTTCGGCGCTCTCGATGGCACGGACGAAGGGGGTGCCGATGATTTCGGAGCCAAAGGACTCGCCAAATTGGTTGTTGGCAAAGGTGCACACCTGGGAGGCACTGGCGGGCTCGGAGATTGGAGACTAGGGGGGTGATCTACTTGATCTGCTCTACCAATCCACAGTGCTAGACGTACATGCATGCCATCGGGTTCGGTGGCACCTCAAGGTTCGTTTGGTTGCTACTTGTTGTTTCACGTTTTTTCAATGGTCGAGCCACCCATAGACTGGTGCAAATGCTCAAGGCGCGATCCGACACCACGGTGTCCACGGTCGTCATGAAATCACTGAAGCGACCGCCCCACCAGTGGCTGATCATCAGCTGCGGTCGTTGGGGTTCTGCACTTACCAGCTCTGCCCAAGAATAACCTCACAGTGCGGAAAAACTGGAGGTTTGGGAGGGGGTTCATGGTTGGTGGAGTTGGAGTTGAGGGCCACTCTTTAGAATCACCTTCGATCCCTTTGCATCTTAGGAGAAAGAGCCTGTGTTTGATTGTCATTGGCAAGTGAAGGCATGGGAATACGATTTGTATATGTGCATGAAGAGGATCTGATGGTGTGAAATGTTTCTGATGTTTCTGATAGCAAATGAATTTGTACAACACCTACTGTACCATTCCCACCCAATGACCCGATCCAGCCCACAATGGATCTTGATTACACAAATTCGCATGGCCACCATCTTGGGATGTTCTCGTCATCATCATCATCATCATCATCAACATCACCACCGACCCACTTTTTGTTGATCTTGCATGATTTGGTTACACGCCCACGTGATGACAAACGCCATCTGCTGCGTCCAGCAACGTTTCTGGATGATTGGATCAAACTCATCCACTCCCCACTTTTGGTCATGGTAGGGGATGTATTTCTTGATCACCTGCGGTGGCTCTGATGGTGGCGCCTCCACAATTTCCCTGCCATGTTTTTAACTTTGAGGGGGGTACGTTTAAATCTGTATGTATAAAACATTATACAACTATGCAGGATACATGCACGTGTGGATACGTTGTTTATTTAAACATATTTACACGGCATATTGTCAAATCCGAGAAAAAACACAGTTATACACAGTCAGTTTGAAAAGCAGAAGCAGAATGCAAAATTTAAACAACGCTTGGCATCTAGCCCGGAAATAAAGCATGCACATGTTCAGACTTTATAGATATGCTGATGCTATGAGAAATGATCTGCGACATTCACAACTGTCCAATGTTCCACAGTATGGCATCTCTGCTGACCAGGGGAGAAGCCTGGGCGACGCACCAAGCGGACCTTTGCTGAGATTGCACACTTTTACCCTTCACTTAGCGCTATAGAACGAATCAAACAACAAACGGAAACGAATCATCCTCATGCTGCTTCGTCCACGCTGACCTCATCTGTGATGTCGTACAAGTTGAGCGCCTGCCACTCCAGCCACTGGTCATAGCCACAGTCCTTCGCCTTGGCGGGTCCCCATCAAAGGGTGAACGCAAGAGCCGTGGCTACATGTTGAAATGGGAAAATTTCGGCAACAAACAGGGAAGAGGAACACTAAGTACAAGAATATAAATATTGGATACTCAGTTCATCCATCAACATCAATAAAGATCAATAAAGCACAATTGCCGTGATGGGGTTCGCTTCGGCTAGCATTTGTAGCATGCTTTGCCAGTGATGGGATGGCAAGGCGTCCCATGACACTCTGCAGTCAACTACTTGAAGTTTCATACCCCCTAGTACTAGTATCTGCTCAGCACGTCCCCATCTGCTCAGCACGTCCCCCCCGGTGATTCTCCCATTGATAATAACTATGGCTACCAACCAAGTTAGTAAATGGGATAATCCAAAAGTATGTTACCCTCTGGTTGCTTAGCTATGGGAAAATCACAACTTTTAAAATAGGTATATAATCTGTATGTGATCAATGGACACCATTTTCCATGGCTATCCTGGCTGCTTCTCTTGCCGAGCTACGTAGCCGGCCCGTCTCAGCGACTTGGTCTTGCACAGCCTTCTCCTTAATCCGCTAGGAATGGATTTCTCCGGGCTTGCCCAGCTTGCCCATGGATTGATGGATTTAAAATGTGATGTTCATGTTGCATGGATTTTACTTGAGAGGGATTGTTGAAAAGGAGAGTGCATGTTCATCGTCCATTTTGCAATGTAAATGGGATGTCGTTGAACATCGACTATCTTTGTGTCACCAGAAGCTATCGCCAGAAACCACCCAGGGATGAAACGTGATGAAACCCACATCAGAAAAAACTGAACTAAGCAAAGCCAAGACGTCAAGAAAATGCAGAGATCCCAGAGCTGTCTGACCCTGAGCCCTCGCTCAGCCACATCCGGGATCAACGTGCAACGCCGCTCGTTGCACCATGGCACTGGCATGGTCGCCCAAGTGTTGCACAGCGGAACGGGGGTAAAGTGTGGATGTCTTCTGCTTGCTGGTTGAGCCAGCCATTCCTCCAACAAAATCAAAGTATATGAAAGTTGAATGGAATCTTCTTGCTCCGGCAGGATGGAAAAGATCTGAAACCAGCCAGTTTTTGGCTTTTGGGAAGTTCCCACTTTTGGAGGGTGGGATGTCAACAGAATGTGTCAAAAGATGTTGGTTAGTGCAGGCCAGGTCATGCCTCCAAATCAATGGCACTATGTACTTCAACTATGAGTCTTCTGCGGTGTTCAGCACCGATGTTGGGAACAACTTTCATGTAGACCCTCTTTTAGTGTGTCTACTTATACCATCTGGTTATTTAACATAGCCATGGAAAGTCACCATTTTTAATAGGTAAATCATCTATAAATGGCCATTTTCCGTGGCTATGTTAAATAACCAGAGGGTACTTTTTGCTGCTTGTCACAGGACCATGTTTTGGTCAAGCTGGTGCAACCCCTGATTCCAGCCGCGCACTGACTCAAGATATTCCTTCAGATGACAATGGCCACACGTGCGGCAATACCCCATCACTGGGAACATCGGCATTCTGCATGTACCCCTGGAAATTGACACAGAACTCCAAGAAACAGATTTTGAAGATGATTCTTCAAAATGACATGTTCAGGTGGGCACAGAACATACCAATGTTGAAGTTGAAGTTAGACTTCTGAAGGGTGGACAAACCAAAAAACAAGTCCAACCAATGAAGCGCCATTTACACAACATATGGGAGTATCAAGGTATAAAACTTCACTCTTGCATCAATACCTGGCCTGTGTGCAGCGTGTTCTGGCAACCCGAGCCCATCATCATCTATCTGCTCATATGGCTATGCGTCAAAACACATCCCAATACATCTAGAAACCACAAACACAGTGCAAGAACAATAACAGTATTTGTTTAAAATAATAATAATTAATACGCGTGTTGTATCTACCTATATATATAATTATATACTATATAAATTAGATTCCAAGATGCAACGGGGAGAAATATGATGAGTTGCGTATTAAATAATTACATGAGATGAACAACTGCCTTATAAGATTTTTCTTTTTACTTCTTTCGTTACACCTACCTCCTACACCCAAAAAAGGCCAAAGAACGAATCATCTTCCGCTGACGACACCTCGAAGGACCTGCGCCTGGAAAAAGTCTCATCCAGCGGGTGCGCCATGGCTGCCATGCGCACCCCCAGCGACGAGGGCAGCTGAGAACTCCTAGGCCTTATGGGTGGTCTTGTTTTATATTATATGGATTTTTAGATGAATATGACAACATTTGGCTTGTCAACTTCTTTTGGTAGATCTGGTGGATCAGAATCAATCATGGTTTGGAATAGATGCTGAACAAGTTAATGCGGAATTGTGATGAAATAGAGACCATGCACACTCGTCGTGATGCTTGCATGCCTTACAATTCTTGTCGCAGCCAGTGAGCTGATGAGCGGCTACTCAAAATAAATGATTAGTTTTTCCATTCTGCAAGCAGCATTGTTGCTCGGCGCCCGGTCAAACATGTGCAGCTGTTGTTGCCTCTGATGCTACATGCGGGCTTCAAACAACTTTGATCCTATCTGCGCCGTAGATTGCAGAGTTGGCGGCTATTATTGACCTTAAGAAACATCCATCTTTCATCACCGTTTTCATAATCATCGTCAAGTGCTAATAGCTACAAACCGCGCTCTTATGTTTCTTACCAGGGAAAACCACACTTGGCTTCCTTCTGAGGATGGTTTGCGTTCCCAACAGTGACCCGCACCTAAAGCTAAGAAGCCCTTTAGGAACACGGTAAAGCTATCCTTGGCCTGGGTTTATATGGATATGGGTCAAAACCCTATACCCCTGGTGAACATCAAAATAGCTGGTAAATGGATGTTCATCCCCTAAAAATGGTATGTATAGGTATTGATCCATAGCCATATACTAAGTTTAGCATCCCTGTTGTTACTTCGTCATTGAGCATGTGAACATGATTGCCCCAAGTATTCCAACGATCACCGACAATCACCAAAAGTAATGACCAGTAGAACCCCCATCTTTTGAATAGGCAGAATATATCGAAATCATATCAAAGCCCAATTTTCTAATGAGTTTACCAGATTTACTTGATTTCACATACCAATCTGAAAGTTTCCCCACCTGTTCCTGCCCTCCCAGGTGCCCAACTACGGTCAGCCCCGGGATTCCTGTGAGAGGCGCAGCACTCGGACGGGGCCGGGCCTTGGCTCTGCTGGGAAGCTCATGGTACCGCCGTAGGCACTGAAGATTGATGATCTCTGGCAACTTTAACATGTTTTGGTGAAGATGAGGATAAACTGTTGGATTTTGCGATACCCACCCGGCTTTTTGGGACATGACCAGGTTGGCCGGTTTGATTCATTGCGAATGGTTTTCGGAGCCTATGGCCCAAGAGATTGGATATGGATCAGTCCTTCCTTTGGGTGGCTGAGGTGCAACAAGTGAAACACAGGGCAAGTACCTGCCCTTCAATCCTAAATGCAAGCCGCACAGGTACACAAACAAATGCAACTGAACACACCCATACCTCTGCCCATCTGCCCTCCTTTTGGCCAGACTCCATCGACAACTTGCTGTACAGTGGTCAGTTGCATGAAATTCTATGGCACAGCAACTCTTTGCCCGGGGTGTGCTCGCAAAGTATTTATATTATGGCACACAATTTCAGGTACGAAAAAACATAATGCTGTCAATTGTCAAATGATATCAAATGAATCAAACGATTGATGGGGAATTCCCATTCCTGACCATGTTTCAACGTTTACAGACCATTTGTGATCCAATGCATGGCACACAGCCAATGACTTGCCATGTACAGCTCTAGAGCTGTCCAGCCAGGCTTGGGCCCCTGGGGGTTCACCACGAAATGAACCCGAGGCAATCAGCACCCTTCAGCTAACTAAAAACCAAGAATTAAGTCTATGACTGATCTAAAAGCCTAATGGGGTGGTTTAACAACAAAAAACAGCAACATCTGTAGATTCGGGATCTCATATTTTGACCTTAAACTCACTTTAAGCTAAAGGAAAGGAAAACTATGGGTCTGGATTGTGGAAACACAAAAGGATCATCCAGAGACTACCTTCAGCACTGCTTCGTAGGCATTTTGAAGCTCCTCTCGCAATGCAGTCGAACAGTTCAACCGACAAGCCGTAGCCAGAAGGCCAGGTGCTGGTGTCTATTCTTCCCACCCCTCACACCAAAATGCGAGGCAAGTATGACCCCCTAGTGACTCTCAGACTGCAGAAAAAGGTGTGACTTGTGTTTTTGTTTGGTTCCTTTCTCTCTATTTTCTATATAGAGTAACATCTTTAGTTTCATCTTCGTACACATAAAACAGTATCGAAAACTACACGTTGATCGCAGCTGGCCACTATCTTCATCACTGAATCGCACGGTCTCCTGGAAAGCTGTCTTAGATCCTCCAGGTTTGTCTGGATGCATGGCCAGTGCGAGCTTGCCTAAGAACGGACCAGCATATGTGCATGCAGGTCATGTATACAAGGGAGGGCACATATATACATATGAGCAGCAAAGGGAAATTACAAAACCACCAAATATGAACATGAATAGCATATTTAGCCAGAATTGTGGTTTGCCCATGGCCATTCATCTCAGCAATGCTTCGGAAAACTCGAGCAAACCAGGGCCTTTGTAAACCAATGACCACCATTCAAACTGGTGAAATCCCAATTTTTGGGCCGCCTTGTGAGTGCAAAATACGTATCTCCAAAATTAGCCCCACTGAAATTCCTCATTTCCCACATCCACATCCTAGCTTGCAGAAATCACTTAAAATCCCCATGTTTTACGGGGAATGAACCCAAGTTTCAACCCTCCCCCGCAGGCACCAAAAACCCGAGTCGCGGTAGGCGCTGCGCAGGGTCTCAGCGCTCGGCAGTTCTGAGGACTGGAAGCCCAGGACCTGTCCAGGCTGAGGACGATGGGAATATGTTAATATGTTTGCCTATAACAGTAACAGTTGGGACTCAAATATATCAACTGAAAATTAAAAATCCACAGTTGTTTGTTTAACAAATGATGTTCAAAATTGCGATTTGGGTAGTGAAAAAAAACCATTGGTTTGTCCATAGCTTTATGGGAACATTGTGTAATCATCCAACCCATACGACCATGACATTATGACATGTACCATGTTGTATCCATGAAACCGGTGATGCATGGGATGTATCCAATCATAAAAGGAACTATCTATCAGTAACGTTTGCTCAGCTTCCAAACAACATCAAAATTAATCATAAAATCCAAAGGTTTTGAAGGCACTGGTCAGCTACAAGTGATATTCCCAATTCCTGGTTCTTTACCTCAAGTTGGTACCATTTCCTAGCTACCGCAGCAGGACAGAGCCTGCAGGTTCTGCTGCAATGCCTTGCTCAACTCACTTGAAGTGCCGGAAGAACCAGAAGCCTGCGATAGAAACTGCTTTTTTCCGAGTTTCCTATGCCTTTCTCAAAAAAACCTCAGAAAAATGGGCTATTGCCATCATTGGTCAAATCACATTTCTGATGTTGCCTGCAATTTCCTGCAAAATGGGATGGGCAGTGAAGGAAATGCGAATTTGACCAATGATGGCAATAGCAAGTCGTCCAGCACTTCCTGCGCCCACAAGCCGACAACAGAACTGCACCCACATTGCTGCAGTTTTCTATGGTAAGGAAGCTAGTGCCAAAACTTGCAAACACCCAAATCAAATCAATCAAAAAACCAAACAGCCCCCATATCGATCCCAATGTTGTTTATGAGCTTAACCGGATGCCAGCATGCTCAGTGCCTGTCCCCCGCCGAAATAGCTCCCAGCAGAGCCACCAACCTCAAAATTGCCGGTCTGCGGATTGCAACAGACATATGGCACATCAGATCCACTATCAGCTGGTCAGTCAGTCTACCCATGGATATTTTGATGTAAGTTGGCCTTCAGCTCCCCATATGCTGTGAATATCAAGTATTCCTAGCCCGTTGGCTTGGCGGGACGCAGAAGGACAGAAACACGGATGTCACCGAGAACTGTCGGCCACATTACCTTCAATGCTCTAAAGGTTGCAAAATCATCGTTGACCGATTGTTGTTTCATCTTGGTGGAATGGTGGAGCCATTTTTTGGATTTATATGGTGCATATTCTTGATACATGGGTGTCTGTGGCATACCGGTGTACCATATCAAATCTATTTGCTGGTCAATAATCTCCCTGGGCCTGGGTATACTGTACATCCCTGAAAATCTGACACCTGCGATACCTATGTCAATGTGTTTCACCAACCATGAAGAGAACCGAACCAATGATGGGACTGCACACCACCAGCGAATCAACTGCTTCCTTGCGCCATTTCATTCCAGGAACATAGCGGCCTTCCCATCCGTTTCCTGGGTGCAGATGATAGTTTTGTTGTTGGAGGCTGACGTGTTGTTGCACCATGTTGCACCTCTATGGGTGGTTGAACCAAACTCAGATCATCCATGACAGCTGTGGGGGCAAAAACGATGTTCAATCTGGTGGTCCATATTGGCATTGTATCGTCTTGGACCCTTAGCAAAGAAACCATGTTTTCCTTAGAAAAAAAACATGGCCATGGTATTGGAAATCCTGGGGCCAAACATGCCATTCAGGAAACACATGCAGGCCATCCTACGAGTCATGTTGATAGCTGCAACAACTGGAAACCCTACCGGTGGACGTATGGTGGGACCTTTCAAATGATGCATGTTGCCCTCCGGAAACCCCAACCAAAAAACACAACATTTACCTCCATTTGCACATGTTGCGCCCCTTCGAAAAAGAAGTGTTCCCATCCCATGTTTGGCTACTGGAGTATAATTCTCTGGTTGATACAACCAGGGCTCGGCGCCATCTGTCCTCAGGGTCGTCTCCTGCGCCACCTGTGTTCACAAGGATGTTCAAGGCATGGGAAACAATTTGGTTTTGAAGCGAAGCAGTTTGCAAAAAATGTGTCCTGTCATGACTCATTGATGATCATGACCATGATGATGATGACGATGATGATGATGATGAAGATGAAGATGAATAACACTGTTTAATCATGCTGATGACCTCTGTTGTGAAAAGTATGTCATCAGCCACCGATATCCCTGGCACCTGGTTTTGTGCCTCTCTTGGCTTGCTGCTCCATGAAGAACTGCTGCAACTTCTGTCGGCATGCCTCTGGCCAAGAAACTGCTGAGAGCCAACCAAAACAAAACAGGGGATATCGTCAAACGCCATTAATGGAAATGAGTCAGATGTCTGAATTAGTGAAAGGATGAGTGGTATGGTGAGTGGTATGGTTTGTTTCTCTGCCTTATGAAGGCCTATCCTGCAAAACCTTTCACAGAAACAACCGCCTTGTAATTCCTCAAAACAAATGTCACAAAACAAAGCTCAACAAAGCAGTGGATAATATTATAACATAGATCAAAACTAAGGCAAGCCATGCTATCATGCTATCACCACAATAAACGTCAGTTCCTGCCAAAAAATGAAACAACATCGCCCAACAAACATCCAAAAACTGTGAGCCACCATGGCCTTCCCAACATTTGACCGAGATCCATCCCACTGCGCCTCTGCCCGCTGAGCAGCTGATGGCACGCCGCCCAGCAGCTCAGCCGCTTCCCATGAGCTGGCAGCCTCCACAGTTGGAGGATTGATTCCCAATCATGTCATACTGTTTCCAGTCAATCAATCAAGCAACCAATCAAACGGTCAATCATAGGTGAGGGTCAAGTCACTTTTAAAAGTAATATTCAGCATACTTCTAATTAACTTGAGCTGGTTATTAGTGACCTCCAGCTTTAGATGGGCATCAGTTCCTCTTGCCAAATGTGTTTTCACATGTTCATGTTGGATGATGTTGGATCATGCTGGTTTTGTTTTCATGCAGAAGGTTTCCCACCCAAACAAATTTGAAAATCAAGATTGCTGGAGAAAAACATTGGTACAATTGGCTGAAATATCCTGCCGCAACTAGATTGTTCCAATCATAACTGCATATGGCGAACCCTCCCAACGAACCATGAAACGTCTTTAATCTGCACATCAACTGGGCATCATTGATCCCAAGAGCGTTCAAGCGACCCACTCGCTCTTGAGACAATTTCCCCTTGGCTTTGTTATGGCGCTGATTTCTGACCCAAAGGCCAAGTTTAAAGCCATCAGCGGTCACAAAGTCCTTGGGGACAAGCACATCTTCATGCTGAGCCTTGTATTCAGTCAATTTGCTAAAGGCCTGCTCCCAAGCGTCAGCCAACGCATCCCAAACCATGCCAAGAGTGTTCAAGCAACCCACTCGCTCTTGAGACAACCTCCCCTTGAATTTGCTCTGGCGCTGATTGCTGACCCAAAAACCAAGCTTAAAGCCATCAGCGGTTACAAAGTGCTGGGGGACAAGCATATCTCCATGCTCAGCCTTGTATTCAGCCAATTTGCTGAAGGCCAGTTCCCAAGCATCAGCCAACGGATCCCAAACCAAGCCAAGAGCATTCAAGCGATCTACTCGCTCTTGGCACAACTTCCCCTTGGCTTTTCTCTTGCGCTGGGCACCAACCCAAACACCAAGTTTAAAGCCATCAGCGGTCACAAAGTCCTTGGGGACAAGCACATCTTCATTCTGAGCCTTGTATTCATCCAATTTGCTGAAGGCCTGCTCCCAAGCGTCAGCCAACGGATCCCAAACCATGCCAAGAGCGTTCAAGCCATCTACTCGCTCTTGAGACAACCTCCCCTTGACTTTGCTCTGGCGCTGATTGCTGACCCAAAAACCAAGTTTAAAGCCATCAGCGGTCACAAAGTCCTTGGGGACAAGCACATCTTCATGCTGAGCCTTGTATTCAGTCAATTTGCTAAAGGCCTGCTCCCAAGCGTCAGCCAACGCATCCCAAACCATGCCAAGAGTGTTCAAGCGATCCACGCGCTCTTGACACAACTTCCCCTTGACTTTGCTCTTGCGCTGGACACCAACCCAAACACCAAGTTTAAAGCCATCAGCGGTCACAAAGTCCTTGGGGACAAGCACATCTTCATACTCAGCCTTGTATTCAGTCAATTTGCTGAAGGCCCGCTCCCAAGTGTCAGCAAACGGATCCCAAACCATGCCAAGATCTTTCAAGTGATCCGCTCGCTCTTGAGACAACTTCCCCTTGACTTTGCTCTGGCGCTGATTGCTGACCCAAACACCAAGTTTAAAGCCATCAGCGGTCACAAAGTGCTGGGGGACAATCACATCTCCAGTCTCAGCCTTGTATTCAGCCAATTTGCTGAAGGCCTGCTCCCAAGCGTCAGCAAACGGATCCCAAACCATGCCAAGAGCGTTCAAGCCATCTACTCGCTCTTGGCGCAACTTCCCCTTGGCTTTGCTCTGGCGCTGATGGCTGAGCCAAACACCAAGTCTGAATCCATCAGCGGTCACAAAGTCCTTGGGGACAAGCACATCTTCATGCTGAGCCTTGTATTCAGTCAATTTGCTGAAGGCCAGTTCCCAGCCTTCGGAGAGCGTTTTGAAAACAGATGGAAAAACGCGAAAATGCAAAAGGCGGGCTGCTTTTTCAACAATGTCATGGTTGCCGCTGTGCCGGCTGCCACAATACACACAAATCCTCGAATTGACAGTTGCATTCCCAAGGTTTTGACGCATATGCGTTCTCAAAAGTGGATCAGCTTGTGCCAGCTCCACGAGCAAACGCCCTAGCTCCATATCTTGAACCAATGCCGTCCCATTCGCATCCTGCGCCAGTGGAGGTGCAATCACCATGGCATCAATCTTGCCGGGATGCTGTCGCAAAACCCTTCCCACGCACTGACGCAGGCGCACTGCATGTCTCGGTGCCACAAAGAGGCATGTGTCGGCACATGGCAGGTCAACCCCTTCACTCAAGACATCCACTGTGACCAAAACTCGAATCCCTGCACGTGCTGGGCTCCGACCAAAGCTCTGCAAGATCTGGTGACGTCGTGCCCTGGAAGTGTGGCCATTATAGTGATCTGCAGCGATGCCCTCTTTGTTAAGGAGATGTGTGAAAGACCTTGCCTCGTCAACCGTGTTGCAAAACGCTAGGATTTTCCTTGACATCGGCAGGTCTTGAATAAGCTCCACCAACCCAGGCCGTGGATCCCCCGCTGTTAGAATGGGCACCATCACAGTGTAGTCGCTAATGACCCCAGCCTCAATGGCAGGACGGAGGCCAAACTCGAAGTCGGGTTTGTTTCTCAGCAAGGTCGCGCTGAAGAAGACTCGTTTCTTGGCATTCAACCCCAGCACTTGCATTGCATGCACACCATCTATAGTCTCATTCCCTGCTGCACCCTCTGAGCTGGGTTCATAGTGATGAGCTTCATCCAAAATCTGCAGCTCAAAAATCAAATTCTGCAGCTGCCAGGCAGAATTTGGCACACAAACGAACAGCTGAGCCGACAAATCCGCAGGGTATCCAGTGCCCACGCGGGAGATTCGAGATGGCAACATCTCTTCAAGCAGATCGGCCAGTTGCTCCATCAGATCCAACTTTGGGACGATGATGCATGCCTTCCCTCGGCCCAAGCTGGCCAACAAGTCTGCCATCACCAGGCTCTTCCCAGTGCCAGTGGACATTTCAACAAAGAAGTCCTGCTGGGCGGTGGCTTCAACCCAGCTGTCGGACTGGTCGCTCAGTGAGGTAAATTGATCTGCCGACATTCCCAAGTTGCCGAGTTGGAGATTGAAAAGACAAATTGAAATTGTGGCGCTAATTTCTTGACATCAATACTCATCCCAAATCCACAAGGGTTCGAAATAAGAATGATTGAAATCAGCACTCAGTCCCGGTTGGAGGAGTTGGTCAGAAACTTCTGGCATTGAGCAAGACAGGCGCGTTGATGAGGCCAGCGCTTCAGGTCCTGAAACCATATTGGGCGCAAGAATAAGCCAAGAATTGGGACCCTAAAAGCGCTAAAGGTCACCAAAAGCCCGCTAGTTTTTGATGGCCTTGTTCTGGTATGGATATTGAGAATAGTGAGATATAAAGTAACAAGCGTATGGATTACATGAGGGGTGTTTCCATTGTTTGAACCATGTACATTTCAAACCCAAACGTGCTTAATTAATTAGATTTGATATACAGAAGGAAAAATCCTGTTAGAAAGCCAATGAAAATCAAACAAGAAGGTAGGTTTAACAACCAATGAATGATGGGGATATGATATGATATGATCAGATCTAAACCTGCAATAATGCATGACCAATTCTGGGTCAAACTTGGGTGCCCCGTGAACATGGATGATTGACAATTGCTGGTTCCCTGGTGGACATCAAAATAGCTTGCATTGTTGAGTTTCATCCCGCAAAACAATCAGCACAAGAAGTTAATGGAGTTGTGTCAAACATGAAGAAACCAGGATCCCAAGGTTTATTATGGTGTGTTATCATTTTATATCAAACTTAGACTTGCCATGTTGAGCTCCAGCTGAGCCCAAATGGTATCATAGATGTATCATAGATTCTGACTCATCCCAGCATGTTCATGTTCACCCATACCCATCCCATATCTAAAAATGCTTATCCCTATCCTTCTTCGCAAGTTCCGTCGGCACGTCTTTGGCCGACTCATGTCTTGCAAGCTCTCGCCACCTGAAGCTGTTGAAGCGATCGGATGTGCCGGCACAAACCATATCCCATCCCATCCCAGTTATAAATAAGGGGTCGACGGTCAGAAATTGTATAATAACCAAGATCCAAGTACGGGTAGGTGGCCTTTCAAGCTGGCAATTTGCAACCCCAAATGTTCTGCTCAGCAATAGCGGTTCATTATTGTTCATTATTGTTCATCATTCATCTAAAATCTAAAAGTTTCTTGGAGGCCTCAATTTTCAGACTTAGGAGGGATGGATCCTCTTCCCGCCTCTCGATCTCTTCCTGTGTGTAGCGCCGGTGCTTTGCCCCGCTCCATTGCCAGTCCTGCGGCAGCCGTGTGCTCTCATTGGTGGCCAACACCATCTGCTTGACCCGATCCTTCAATGGCGACCCCTCGGAACGCACCAAGTAGTGGAACCTCAGTGGATGGCAGTGATGGCAGTGGGAGTAATGTGCATGGAAACTGGGTACAGTATGGGTTGAAGGGCTGGGAGGAGAACTTAAAAACAGGCAAGAATCACGAAGATGTCATGTGAATCCATGGTTAGGTGTTGGAAATAGACACGCGCTATACTCAGCCACGTTTGAAAACATCTGAACCCACCCAAGGGATCCCAGGGGTACCCTCACCTCCTCATTACTTCACCCAGCAACGTGGCCAGGCGTTCCAACGGCACATAGTCCTGGTAGTCCTTCGCTTGCACAGCGGTGCTGAGATTCAACGCCAGGGAGTCGATGCCACGATCTGCACCCGGAAGGCCCCAGAAGTCCTTCAGGGGGTGGTGGTACAACGAGGGGGTGAGCTGGAGATGAGCCAGCTAATTGGTGCCTTGACACAAGCCTTGACACAAAAAAAACGGGGAAATCAGCCAACCACAGTAGGGATGATAGATGATAGCAAACATGGATGGGGATAGAACTAATGCAATTGGGTATATAAATACAATGTCTCTCTCGCGCTCTCTCTCTCTCATCTCTCTATCGCAATCTATGGGATACAGTACAAGGTAGAAACGCATAAAGGGGACAAGACCACACGAAACAAGCAAACACTTCACCAAACTCCTTGAAGCGAGCAGGTAGTTGACCTCAAGTTGTGCTTGCTTGGAAATATCAGATGGGATATCAACAAAATAAAAAGTCTCCAAGCGCCACAAAACTTCTCTTCCAAACACCTTCTCTGTACGTTTGAGGATTCAATGAGGATTCAGCTAAGAATTTAGGTACGTCACCAACAGCAAGTGATGCCGTCTTGCTCAAATTTCCTTTTCTACCTGTCTGGTGGGGAAAATATAACATGTTTGAATCAGCAAAAACGACCTCTTGACCAACCAAGCGGCTCCATGGCACTGTTTCCGAGTCCAATGCGGAAATCAGCTCCAGCTCCCGCCCCGGCGGCAGCTTGCCCTCCGCAATGGCCTCCAAGGCCCTGCTGCGCACCGCCGCATGGATGCGCGCCACCTCCGCCGGTGCCAGCGGCGTCGCGGCCAGGCGCGGCCCGAGGACCTGGGCCCGGAGCCACCAGCGGCAGCTCAGCGCAAGGCACAGCAGCAGGGCACCGAGGCGGCGACGGTGAAGGGAACGGGAAGCCATGGTGATGCGGTGGTGGTGTGGCTGGGGGCGAGGCAAATGGCTGAAGAGTGGAAGTGCAATGGGAAGTTGGGATGGAAATGGTTGGTGAGGTGGTAAAGCCGACAACTTTCAGAAGAAGTTTGATATCCTTTGAGCTTTGGTTGGAGCATGTTGGAGAACCGGCACACAAGATACAACCATATTAAAATATTTTTTTACATGATGCTTGGATACCTGTGGTGTTGCCTGAAGCCTTCAGGCCGTGCTAATTTGAATATCCACCATAAATTGAACATAGCTGAACTGATTTTTACCAGCTATTTTCAAAACATTTTAGAGCAGTGTTTATATGCTTTTCTACAATTCTGTGCGCTTTGGAATCTTTTCATACAGTTTCACAATGTTTCACACTCGTTGGGATTTTTTCCTGCACACCTGCACATTTGCTCGGGTTTGACATTGAAGCACTCTCCTGTGGGTCGCCTATTGGTTTGCACCGGTACAACGCAGTGGCCCACAACAAGAATGGACTGTAACCATTGGTACTGCAACAAATCATGATCCGTCATGTGGACAGCCCCAAAAACAACAATGATGATCAGCTTCTTGGACCTGTTCTACCCGATGCTAGTTTGGACGCCGGATGGACAAAAACTGGGTTGCAAAAAAAATGCACTGCAGCATGGCGGAAACACAAGTTGAATCTGTGATGTTTTGCTTGGTACTGGTAACTATCCTTGTTTGGTATTGACAGCGAACCAAAGCGGTGATTCGGCTTTCCTCCACATGCAGCTCTTTGATCTGGACAATGTGAAAAAAAACTGAATACCAAATCCAATGTGCTAACAAATTTGGCAGGACCAAACCTAGTTAGTCAGCGCATTAGGCTGGCAGTAGATGTCAACATGGTCAACATGTCTACAATGCTGTTCTTTTGTGCTACTTTGTTCAGAACTTGTTTGCAACTTTGGGGAAACCGTAACCTTGTGCATTTGTTTAACATGTTTTCGCGAACCTGGCAATATTATAGAGATGGGACCTATATGCGCCTCTGCATGCCAAGAGAAAACATGGCACATTCAGATCATTCCAGTTAAACTGAAGCAGTGATTTCAAACATGTTGAAACACTTTGAAAACTTCAAGTAACTGACACATATTGCATGCCCAATATACACAGGGAATATAAAAGTGTATTATATAACTATAAGTTATTTTCCGTACTTAGCACATCTTAGCACTTCTTGATTGAGTGGTGTTAGGTTGTATGCACTTGCATGTTATGTTCAGTATATTTGGAAAGTAATTTGAAACTATAGGGAATGCAAGAGACGAGGAACCACCAAGTAAGGGCATTTCTGCCGATGGCCGCCGGGTTAAACCGCCTTTTACCAGTACCGGCGGAAATTTCCGCCAACAGAAAGTTCCAGGTATCAAATATATCATATGCCAGACCGGATATGCCTTTTTTGTGCCCCAAAACATAAAAAGAGAATTTAAGCGATCCACGCGCTCTTGGCACAGCTTCCCCTTTGCTTTGACATCCCGCTGCCGTTGAACCCAAAAGCCAAGTTTGCCGCCATCAGCAGTCTCGAATGTGCGGGGAACCCTCGCATGTCCATGTTCAGCGTGGTATGCCGTCAGATTGCGGAAGCCCAGCTCCCAATCCTCAGCCAACGGATCCCAAACCATACCAAGAGAATTCAAGCGATCCACGCGCTCTTGGCACAGCTTCCCCCTTGCATTGAAACGCTGCTGCGTCTTAACCCAAATGCCAAGCTTGCCGCTATCAGAAGACTCGAATATTTGGGGAACCCTCGCATGTCCATGTTCAGCATGATATGCAGTCAGATTGCGGAAGCCCAGCTCCCAATCCTCAGCCAACGGATCCCAAACCATACCAAGAGAATTCAAGCGATCCACGCGCTCTTGGCACAGCTTCCCATTTGCTTTGAGGCATCGCTGCGTTTGAACCCAAAAGCCAAGTTTGCCGCCATCAGCAGTCTTGAATCTTTGGGGAACCCTCGCATGTCCATGTTCAGCTTGGTATGCCGTCAGATTGTGGAAGCCCAGCTCCCAATCCGCAGCCAACGGATCCCAAACCATACCAAGAGAATTCAAGCGATCCACGCGCTCTTGGCACAGCTTCCCCCTTGCTTTGAGACGCCGCCGCGTCTTAACCCAAATGCCAAGTTTGCCGCCATCAGCAGTCTCGAATCTCTCGCTAACCCTCGCATGTCCATGTTCAGCATGGTATGCCGTCAGATTGCGGAAGCCCAGCTCCCAATCCTCAGCCAACGGATCCCAAACCATACCAAGAGAATTCAAGCGATCCACGTGCTCTTGGCACAGTTTCCCCTTTGCATTGAGGCGCCGCTGCCTATGAACCCAAATGCCAAGTTTGCCGCCATCAGCAGTCTCGAATCTTAGGGGAGCCCTCGCATGTCCATGTTCAGCATGGTATGCCGTCAGATTGCGGAAGCCGAGCTCCCAGTCCATTGGATTGGTCTTGAAGATTGAAGAAAAAACACGAAGACGTAAAAGGCGGGCTGCTTCTTCAAAAGGGTCACTGTTGTGGCTGTGTAAATACGCCGAATACAGAGAAATCCTCGAGTTGGCACTTGTATCATCTTTAAGATTCTGGGTTATAGACCTCTTCAAAAGTGGGTCAGCTTGCGCAAGCTCCATCAAGAGTCGTCCCAGCTCAATGTCTTCAATCAACGCCCCATCCCTGACCTGCACCAATGGAGGTGCAATTACGAGGGCATCAATCTTGCTAGGATGCTGCCGCAACACCCTTCCCACGCACTGACGTAGGCGCACCGCATGTCTTGGTGCAACAAAGAGGCAGGTGTCTGCACATGGCAGGTCAACCCCTTCACTCAAGACATCCACTGTGACCAAAACTCGAATCCCTGCACGTGCTGGGCTCCGACCAAAGCTCTGCAAGATCTGGTGACGTCGTGCCCTGGAAGTGTGGCCATTATAGTGCTCTGCAGCGATGCCCTCTTTGTTAAGGAGATGTGTGAAAGACCTTGCCTCGTCAACCGTGTTGCAAAACGCTAGGATTTTCCTTGACATCGGCAGGTCTTGAATAAGCTCCACCAACCCAGGCCGTGGATCCCCCGCTGTTAGAATGGGCACCATCACAGTGTAGTCGCTGATGATCCCAGCCTCAATGGCAGGACGGAGGCCAAACTCAAAGTCGGGTTTGTTTCTCAGCAAGGTCGCGCTGAAGAAGACCCGTTTCTTGGCATTCAAGCCAAGTACTTGCATCGCATGAACACCATCTACAGTCTCATTCCCTCCTGCACCCTCCGAGCTGGGCTCATAGTGATGAGCCTCATCCAAAATCTGCAGCTCAAAGGTCAAATTCTGCAGCTGCCAGGCAGAATTTCGCACACAAACGAACAGCTGAGCCGATAAGTCAGCAGGGTATCCTGTGCCCATGCGGGAGATTCGAGATGGCAACATCTCTTCCAGCAAATCAGCCAGTTGCTCCATCAGATCCAACTTTGGGACGATGATGCATGCCTTCCCCGAGCCCAGGCCAGCCAACAAGTCTGCCATCACCAGGCTCTTCCCAGTGCCAGTGGCCATTTCAACAAAGAAGTCCTGCCGGGCGGTGGCTTCAACCCAGTTGTCGGACTGGTCGCTCAGTTGGGTAAATTGATTTGACATTATTTGACAATACTCTCAAGTTGCTAAGTTGGATGTTGAAAAAACAAATTGAAATTGTGCCGCTAATTTTTCTTGACATAAATACTCATCCCAAATCCACAAGGGTTCGAAGTAAGACTGACTGAAATCAGCACTCAGTCCCGCTTGGAGGAGTTGCTTAGAAATTTCTGGCATTGAGCAAGGCAGGCGAGTTGATGAGGCCAGCGCTTCAGGTCCTGAAACCATGTGGGCGCAAGGATAGGCCAAGAATGGGACCCTAAATGCGCTAAAAGTCATGAAAAGTCCGCCAGTTTTTGATGGCCTTGTTCTAGTATGGATATTGAGAAGAGTAAGGTATAAAGTAACTAGCGTATGGAGCAACTGGGATTACATGAGGGGTGTTTCCATTGTTTGAACCATGTACATCTCAAACCCAACCGTGCTTAATTAGATTTGATAGACACAAAGAAAGCCCTGTTAAAAAGGCAATGAACATCAAACAAAAAGGCACAGTAGATTTAACAACCAACGAATGATGTGGATGTGATATATGATCAGATCTAGCTGCAATAATGCATGACCAATTCTGGGTCAAATTTGTGTACCCCGTAAAAATGGTGAACATCAAAACAGCTTTCATTTTTTGAGTTTCATCTAGTTGTGTCAAAAAAAACAGGATCCCAAGGTTCATTATGGTATCAAACTTAGACTTGCCATGTTGAGCCACTCCTCACTTTCAGCTGAGCCCAAATGGTATCATAGATGTATCCCAACATGTTTACGTTTACCCATACCCATCCCATATCTAAAATGCTTATCCCTGTCCTTTTTCGCAAGTTCCGTCGGCACGTCTTTGGCTGACTCATGTCTTGCAAGCTCTCGCCACCTGAAGCAGTTGAAGCGATCGGATGCGCCGGCGCAAACCATATCCCATCCCATCCCATCCCAGTTAATTATAAATATGGGTCATAAATTGTAAGCAAGATCCAAGTAGGTGGCCTTTCAAGCTGGCAATGTGCAACCCCAAAATGTTCTGCTCAGCAATAGCCGTTCATTCATCTAAAAGATTCTTGGAGACCTCAATTTTCAGACTCCTTAGGAGGGATCCACTTCCCACCTCTCGATCTCTTCCTGCGTGTAGCGCCGGTGCGTTGCGCCGCTCCATTGCCAGTCCTGCGGCAGCCGTGTGCTCTCGTTGGTGGCCACCACCATCTGCTGAACCCGATCCTTCAAGGGCGACCCCTCGGAACGCACCAAGTAGTGGAACCTCAGTGATGGGCAGTTTTGGCAGTGGGAGTAATGTGCATGGAAACTGGGTACAATATGGGTTGAAGGGCTGGGAGGAGAACTTTAAAAAAACAGGCAAGAATCACGAAGTGTTGGAAATTGAGATGCACTATAATTACTCAGGCACGTTTGAAAACATCTGAGCCCACCCAAGGGATCCCAAGGGTACCAATCTCATCTCCTCATTACTTCACCCAGCAACGTGGCCAGGCGTTCCAACGGCACATAGTCCTGGTAGTCTTTCGCTTGCACGGCCGTGGTGAGATTCAAGGCCAGGGAGTCGATGCCGCGATCTGCACCCGGAAGGCCCCAGAAGTCCTTCAGGTGGTACAACGAGGGGGTGAGCTGGAGATGAGCCAGCTAATCGGTGCCTTGACACAAGCCTTGACACAAAAAAAAACGGGGAAATCAGCCAACCACAGTAGGGATGATAGATGATAGCAAACATGGATGAGGATAGAACCAATGCAATTGGGTATATATACAATGTCTCTCTCTCTCTATCGCAATCTATGGGATACAAGGTAGAAACGCGTAAAGGGTCAAGACCAAACAAAACAAGCAAACACTTCACCAAACTCCTTGAAGCGAGCAGGTAGCTGGCCTCAAGTTGTGCTTGCTTGGAACTATCAGACGCGATATCAACCAAATAAACGGTCTCCAAGCGCCACAAAACTTCTCTTCCAAACACCTTCTCTGTAGGTCTGAGGAAACAATGAGGATTCGGCTTAGGTTTTAGGCACGTCATCAACAGCAAGTGATGCCGTCTCGCTCAATTTTCCTTTTCTACCTGTCTGGTGGGGAAAACATAACATGTTTGAATCAGCAAAAAAGACCTCTTGACCAACCAAGCGGCTCCATAGCACCGTTTCCGAGTCCAATGCGGAAATCAGCTCCAGCTCCCGCCCCGGCGGCAGCTTGCCCTCCGCAATGGCCTCCAAGGCCCTGCTGCGCACCGCCGCATGGATGCGCGCCACCTCCGCCGGTGCCAGCGGCGTCGTGGCCAGGCGTGGCCCGAGGACCTGGGCCCGGAGCCACCGGCAGCAGCTCAGGGCGAGGCACAGCAGCAGGGCACCAAGGCGGCGGCGGTGAAGGGAACGGGAGGCCATGGTGCTGCGGGGGTGGTGTGGCTGGGGGCGAGGTAAATGGCTGAAGAGTGGAAGTGCAATGGGAAGTGGGGATGGATATGGTTGGTAAGGCGGTAAGGCCAACAACCTTTGGAAGAGATTTGATCTTTGGCTGGAGCATTGACAGAACTAACATGGCGCATGGATACTGATGGTGTTCCTTTAGAGGCCTCGAGGCCATGCTAATTCGACTGCATGATTCATCCATTTCATCATTGCAGTCACATGTATACAGTCCTATACAGGAATGATCCCCTGCCAATGAAATGCGGAAGCGCTGTAACTTGTGTTTTTGCCTAGCAGCCTGACAGCGCATATTTCTGGAGTTTGAAATTTATCAAATGGTTTAAAGTTGAAACAACTTATGGCAAGGAGGGGAACATACAGTTTTGAGATTAATTATTTTTGATACTATTGCAGGTGTGACGATGTCACGCGACAAATTCAAAAGAATAGAAGGCAATACCTGGGTAAAACTAGCAAACCATCTTCTTCCCAAATTAAAACTACCTTTTTATATTTTTTTTATATGGATGGAAAGTACTACCCCACAATATCTTCATTCTCTTTGGGCTCTATCAGCTAAAACTTTGGGCTGGTGAAGCATGAAGGTCTTATGCATCACCGCAAAGGAATGAGATTGGTATTGCCCCCCGCCTCTGCCAGAAACCCAAGCTCCTCAGCAGCCGCACCTGTGGCACGCGGTGGAGGGACACCATGGTTTTTGAGGGCCCACAGCCACATGTTCAGTACACCCACTTGCTATGTTCTACAAACATATATCTTTGATGTCTAACTCTCATTTCAATGTTTAATGAGGCTTACTGTCTCACTCCAATTTCAACATTGTTGATGTGTCATGGTAAATTTAGGAAAATCTTGGGCCTGCAAACATTGGAAATTCCAAAATAATTATTTTGTCATTTTTTTTTGCATTTTTGTTGCATTTTTTTTGCATTTGGGTTTGTCATTTTGGATTTGTGTTGTCATTTTTTTGTCATTTCTTTGTCATTTCTGTGTCATTTTTTTGTCATTTGTTTGTCATTTTATTGTCATTTTATTGTCATTTTGGGAACGGGAAAATGGAGAAAAAACATTGTTTAAAAATGACTACCATGACAGACCTTTTGTTATCTCGTGGCAGCACCAAATACAAGGAACAAGTGGAGAAACTCTTGGAAAGCCAGCCGGCGGTGAAGAAGGATAGGGCAGGGGAGCTTGCCCTGGGGAATTCGTTTTTGGGCCTGCCTGGACGAGGAGTTGTCTCCCGGCTCGGGGTGCAGGGCCGGCTCAAAAACCGGGTGGGGGGGCGGGGCCGGGGTGAAATGGCCCGGGGGGGCGGCTCAGGCCCGAGAAGCGGGGCCGACCTGGAAACTCCAAAAACGCAACTTTACCAGCACGCGAGTCATTTTTTTCGCATTTTTTTCGCTTTTTTTTTGCATTTTTTTCGCATTTTTTTTGCATTTTTTTTTGCATTTCCCAGACTAGGAGTCATTTTTTTTGCATTTTTTTTGCATTTCCCAGACTGGGAGTCATTTTTTTGGCATTTTTTTTGCATTTCCCAAACCGGGAGTCATTTTTTGCAATTTTTTCCATTTCCTAGACCGGGTTTGCCACCTTCACCGCTTGCCTGATCCTTATGAGAAAACGACAAGAAAATGAACAATGCTAGAAAGTAGAAAACGACAAGAAAACGACAAAAAAATGACAAGAAAATGACAAAAAAATGACTTAACAAATGACAAAAAAATGACACCACAAAACAGGAATGACAAAAAAATGCAAAACCAAATGACAAAAAAATGACAAAAAAATGACAAAAATAAATAACCAACAACCCTCAGAGTTTGCTGGTAAGATTTTCATAATGGTAAATGAATGTATATAAATGATACATTCCCCTGTCTCTTCGTTTGTTGGGTCCCCACCTTTCTGCAGTTCCCATAGCCCAACTTCCCCATGACATTCCCATGTTGCGCACCTCGCGCCGCGTGCGCCCTGGCTAAGCTGGGCTGCAGCTTTAAGGCGTCGACCGCATCCTGAAACGCCTCCTGGTGGCGACCCTATCCAGCATATTGGGCCCCCAAAGTGAGCATTCACTATAATGGTTGTGGGATTACACCCCCACTAATAGAGCCCCAACACCATTACAATTCAATAGTTATATCCCAGCCCATGAACTATGGATTTAATGAATGGCCCTACACCTATTGCATATTCATACATATTCAAACATATTCATACTATATGACCATTCCTTTCTATCTATCTATCTAGCTATCTATCTAAGTAACTAAGTAACAAACAAACAAACAAACTAACTAACTAACTAACTCACTAACTGACTAACAAACTAACAAAGTAACTGACAAACAAACAAGCAAACAAACAAGCTAACTAACTAACTAACTAACTAGCTAACTAACTAACTTACTTACTTACTTAACTATCTATCTAACTAACTAACTAATTAACTAACTAACTAACCTTACTAACTTACTTACTTACTGAACTATCTAACTAACTAAATAACTAACGCACTAACTAACTAACTAACTAACTAACTGACTAACTAACTAACTAACTCACTAACTAACTAACCAACTAACTAACCTTACTACCTTACTTACTTACTTACTTACTTAAATATCTATCTATCTAACTAACTAACTAACTAACTAACCAACTAACTAACCTTACTACCTTACTTACTTACTTACTTACTTACTTAACTATCTATCTATCTAACTAACTAACGAAGTACTAACTAACTAACTAACTAACTAACTAACTAACTAACTAACTAACTAACTAACTAACTAACTAACTAACTAACTGACTAACAAACTAACTAACTAACTAACTAATTAACTAACTAACTAACTAACCAACCAACCAACCAACCTGTAAAAGTGCGAGATGTTTCAAGCACTGTTGTCAAGCTGCAACTGTCGGCACCTTTTGCTGTTGCACGCACTCAATCTGTATGTTGTCAACAGGAGTTGACTCAAGGCCTTGAACCACAGGCCAGTGTTGATATGACATGTTGAATATGTACATTGACACGACCCCTCAGATGTTGGCTATGTTAGCCAGCAGATGTTGACTATATATTCTACATGGGTCTGTGTTCACTAAATGTTGCAACTAATGTTGAAACTATAAACATGTTGAAACTGAAACAGCATTATGTTGACTACTCATGCATGAGTGTTGGTTCATCCTCTGTACAAATGCCGATGGCTTGGTTATCTTTATACACCTGTTGCAGCCGCAGGTGTTGGACGAAAAAACACTTGCTTAATTATGCGCACTTCAAGCTCTCATGTGTTGAGCGTCATGTTGCGCAGGGCTCTGTTGTTTTGGTGCTTCTGCACCGGGATGTTGTCTGAGCTCCACCCCTGTTGTGATCATTGTTGATCACTCTGCGTTGTTCTCTTCCATGTTGTCTTCCATGCCGGTTGGCTCACGATACTTGTTCACTTCATCGAAGTGCTGTTGGAGGTGCTCATCTGCTGATTGCTCCATCAGCCATAATGCCAGTGTTGAAGATCCCCTCAACCTCTCTGGTGTCTTCACACCAAAGTATTGGAATTGTTGTCCTCCTTCAAGGAGAGGATGCCACTTGTTGAGGATCATCCTGATTTTGGTCCTTGCTGCCTCTGGCAAGAATTCCAGTTGTTGAGTGCCACCGTACTGAATGGCTTGTTGAAGCATATAGATGAGATGTTGTGGGATCTCATCTCCAACTGTTGCCAAATTCACAGGAGTGTTGTAACTCCAAATGAAGTTGTTTGACCAGCTGAGCATGTTGAAGATGTCGAGGAACCCTTGTTCCCTGTTGAGTGCCCACAACTGTTGAGTGAGCAGTTCTGTTGACACAAAAATGGCTGCACAAAAAAAGGTTGAATACACGACTGTTGTCAACAAACGGTGTTGACATCATCATGCGTCACAAGACATGTTGACCTTCACGTTGGGAAGGATCTTGTTGAAATAAGTCATCCTGCAAAAAAGGAAATCATGTTGACTAAGTCAATGATGTTGATGCTGATAGTCGAAATAGATCACCATGTTGGGATTCCAAAAAAAAAGATCTTGTTGAAATACTGGATGAAACGAAACAAGGGAGATGTTCATCAACGTTTGTTGATGACATCGGTCATGGCTCAAACGCGTCCGTGTGTGTGTGTGTGTGTGTGTCTGTGTGTGCATTGTTTGCTCACGCAGTTGTGCACGCGTGCGCATAGTGCATTAGCTGCCCGGGTGTTGTGAAACTGCTGTTGCTGTATCCACTCTTTAGTGGATGTGGTGCTGGGTGTTGAGCCCAGCTGCCTGCAGGTGTCTGTGGAGTGTTTCTGTTGAGATGTATTTGGTGAAAATGTCTGCTGGGTTTTCGTTTGTGTGAATCTTATTGAGTCTCACGATGTCATGTGAGATCAGTTGTTGTATGAAGAGATGTTTCAGGTCAATGTGTTTTGCTTTTCTTGACGATCCTATCCTTGTTGCCATGCTCTTGCCGCTTGACGAGTCTGTGTGAATCTTGATGTTGACCTTCTGGACGTTGAAGAGCTCCATGAGGAGGTTGCGCAAATGAAGTGCTTCTGTTGCTCCTGTGTTGATGGCGTATAGCTCTGCTTCAGCACTTGACAGTGCTATTGTTGCCTGTGTTCGGCTGCCGTAGTTGATTGTAGCTCCAAGTAGTGTGATGAGAAAACCTGTTGTTGATCTCCTCGTTTCTGGACAACCTGCCCAGCCGCTGTCCACATAGATGTTGAGGTCTGGAATCTGTGTTGGAGGTATCTTTGCTGTTGGTCTAATGACCTGCCTGTAGTGTTGTGTTCCTTTGAGATACCTAAGAAGGTGCTTCAGCTTTTGTTGGTCTGCCGTCGTTGGTGCTTGTAATGCTCTGGCCAGCTCCTTTGTTGCGTAGCTGATATCGGGACGAGTGTATGTCATCCATTGTAGTTTACCTACTGTTCTCCTGTAGGCTGCATGTTCGTCTGTTGAAAGAGGCTGTTCATGATCAGCTGTTGGTGCCTTCAAGGCTGATGTTCCTGGTGCCGGTGCTGGGTTGCAGTTCAGCATGTTGTTCTCCTCCAAGATGTTGGCCACGTAGTCCTGCGATAGTGAAATATCGTAGCTATCACCATTGTTGGTGATGCTGCGTCCAAGGAAGGAGACTGTCTTCCCTGGTTCAAGTGTACCTGTTGGTCGAAGAAGAAGGTGTTGCTGAATTGCTGTGAAGAGCTTGTCCACCACTTGTTGTTCTCCTAGGAAGAGAAGGTCATCGACGTAGACGAGGATATAGCAATCTCTTGTTGGTGTCATAAAGATGTTGGGCTCTGCTGTGCTGCGTTGAAGTCCAAGTTGTTGTAGGACTTCTGCAAGGTGGTTTTGCCAAGCTTTTGGACTGCTTCTCAGTCCATAGATTGCTTTGAGGAGTTTCCAGATGATGTTGTCCTCTGGTCTGTAAAACTCCTTTGGTGGATACATGTACAAGTCTGCTGTTGCTGCTGCGGCATGTAGGAAAGCTGTTGAGATGTCTCCTGTTCTGGCGATCCAACCTCTGTTGAGGCAGATAGTGAGAAGTGTTCTCAGGACGCAAAAGATAGGTGTTGAGGCATAGATGTCATCAAGATCGTTGACTGCCTCTGTGTAGCCCTTTGCTACAATTCTTGCACGAACGTTGTTGCCTTTGTCTCTGAGAACCCATCTTGACTGTATGATGTTCTTCTTTTGTTCTGGGGTCAGAGTGTTGATGTCGACTTCCATGTATACCTGTTGTTTCTTCATGGAATCGATCTCATTCTTCATTCCTTCAATGGTCTTCTGTTTGTCGAATCCTTCTGTGTTGTTGACCATTGGTTCCAAAAGGATCTTCTCTGTTTGTTCTTCTGTGATGTCGTCACAAGTGTATGCTGTGATTTCGACCCCTTTCTTTGTTTGAATTGTCACCTTTGTGATTCTTAGTTTGCTTGTTGGTGGCTCTTGTGCTGTGTCAGGCCTTGCTGGACCTGTTGCTGCTTCTGCTGTTCGATGTTGCTTTGGCAGACTGCCTTCTGCCACTTCGTCTGAAACTGTTCGTTTTGGTGATGGAAGTGATGGTCTGGTGTGACAGCTTGTTGGTGCTGTTGCCATTGGTGAGTCTGCAATGGCACATCGTGTTGATGTACCTGCCGGTGCTGCTGGTTGCTGTGCTTGAAGTTGTGGCTGTTGTGTTGTGTCTGCTCCAAAAGCTTGTGTGCCTGTTTCTGCAGTTGCTGGTCTCCTCATTGGCTTGTAGACCAGTGGTGGTTTTGAAACGTATGGTCCACCAGTGGTGTATGGGAGTGTTGGTGATCTGTTGATCACGTCCATCAGTTGCTTGTTGTACTTTTCTGGTGCTGGAAGCCTTCTGATTGTTCGTGCTCGAACAACCTTGTTGGAAATCCCAATGAGGTTCTCATTGGATGTTGTGTCTTTACCAAGCCATATGCCTGGCATGAAGCGCTGTTCCATCTTTGGAATGACTGCTGAGTTTGGCAACATATAAAGAACTGTTTCACCAAACTCACAGAGTGGTGTTTTGTGTTCTTTATGCCATCTCCTGAAGAAGCTTGTGTTGCCATCTGAATGTATGGCATACCTGTTGAGCAGGTAAGCTGTGTGTCTCACCATCCATGCTACGATGGGATGTTTGCTTGTAAGTCTGATGTCGTAGTTGTTCTGCAGTTGGGACTTCAGTGTTCTGACTTGTCCCATGAGTGTTCTGTGAAAGCGTTCGACGCTGCCTTGTGCTTGTGATGTGTATGTTGGTGCTTGTCGAACTGTGATGTTTCCTCCCATCTTAGCTGCTGTTGCTCTGAGAAGTGCTATGAGGTGATCCTCCTGATCTGACTGTAGGATTGTGCTGTTGAGTACAGCTTGTACTCTGCCACACTCCATGAGGAATGTTTGTATGCATTGGACGTGATATTGAAAGTCTGCTGTCTTGCTGTTGACAAGAACTGCCATGCTCATGCCTGTTTCCACGTCAATGCCTGTGAGGATTGGTGTTGTTTCCTTTTCTCCAAGTGTTTTGAAGAAACAAAAGTCGAATTGTACGACTGGTTGTTTGCTGTGTTGTCGTGGGTGGTTGTCTGCCCGTCCTTTGTTTTGAACACATGTTGGACACCAACTCCTGTAGGGAAGGTGTGTGAGTTCATGTTCAGCACGCTCTTGTGCTGTTGGCTGCTCTGGTGCTTTGATGCCTTTTGCTGTTCTGGCATCTAAATGTTCTTCCTCATCGATGTTGTAGTACTCCTCTTTGAACGCCGTGCTCTCCTCAAAGTTTGTTGAACCTGTCCATGTGAAGTTCATTGTTGCTGAGGTCTTTGTTGTCCAGTCATCATCAATCCTGTATCCTCTGGCTCCTGATGTTGGCTTAACTATTGTTTGTCTTTGTGGCAATAGCTTTGTGACATCTGGACCATCCATTGTTTGTTGTGGGATGTAAAGCTGAGTCCGTTGTTGTACATGGACTCTCTTCCAGTACTGTCCTTCTTTGATCCAGTAGTCTGCTGTTGCTGGTGTGTCCTTTGGTCCTGGAACTGCTGTTCCTGGATATGCTTGTTGCTTCATGGGCTGCTGTTGCTGTGGTACCAAAGGTTGTTCCACTGGCTTCTTCTCTCTGTGTCGAACTGCTGATCCTGTAGGCTGCTGAGCTTGTTGCTGCTGTTGCTGTGTCGTTGCCTTGGCTGCCGATGCCTTTGGTGTTGCTGATGCTGGCGCTGAAGCTGCTGTTGATGCCTTGGGCAACGGTGGTGCTGGAGGCTTTGTTGTCTCTTTGACTCTGAACCATGTTTCTCCTGACCATGCTGGTCCTGGAAGTCTTCTGTTCTGTCGTTGTTGTGGAAGGTCTTTGTATTTGTCCTCAAAGTCCTCAAGTGTTCCATCTGGCTTGTATGCTATTGTTCTTCTGTAGTTGTCCAGCTGTTCTTCTGGAACTGGACATTGTGCATCTGGTGTGAAGAGGGCCTTCCTTGTTCTCTTGTGTACCCTCACCAGATATCCTGTGCTGTTGTATATCCAAATGTCGTTGTTGTGTGTGACCCATTCAGGTCCTGTTGGTGTAATTGTCACTGGGGACACTGTTGCTCGAATGCCATGTGACGTCTCACATATGTCGAGCTTCATGTTGCTTGGCATTGGGCTGATGTTGACTGTAAGAAAATACAGTCCTTGTTGTTGCTTCAGTGTTGCTTCAAAGCCGTTGGTGTTGGTGATTGATGGGCGATCGCTAAGCTGGATGTTGAAACCCTGTGATGCCAGTCTTGTTACTGACAAAATGGGTTGTGACACGTCACACACATAAAAGGGTATGACGATCGGTTGTTGCTTGCTGTTCTTCATGTACACCCATTTGTAGCCATAGACTGTGATGTCTTCCTCTGTTGCTGTTGTAAGTCTTGGGCCTTGTTCTGGGTGAAGTTCATATGTTTTGTATGTTGGGGCAAACCATGGTGGGCAAACATGTGTTGCTGCTCCACTGTCAATCATCAAATCTTCTGTGGTGTTTGCCGGTTGCTCAGTTGCTGGCTGCTGCTTGTTGGACTGCTGTATTGAAATGGCTGCTATGTGGAGTTGTGGAACTTGCTGTTCCTGCGCGCTTGTTGGTGGGAGTGCCAGTTGTTGCTGTGGCAGTGCGCTGACCTGTGTTTGGTCATCATTCCACCATTGGCCGTCATAGTACTGTTGTTGTTGATACCATTGGGTTGTTGCATCATCTTGCCAATGGCCAGTGTATGTGTTGGTTGTAACCTCGTTGAGGTTGTGTACTGCCACACGGCAGTCTCTTGCTATGTGACCTGGTTGGCCACATCTGTAGCATCCTTGTGTTGGGACCCCTTTTCCTTTTCCTGTTGGCTTGCCTTTGCCTTTGCCTATGTACCCTCCTTTGTTGTTGGATCCTTTGGGCTGCATTCCTTGCCCAATCTTTCCTTTGCCTTTGTTGTATCCGTAGCCATATCCTTTGCCTTTGTTGCTCTTGTTCCTTCCTTTTCCTTTGTTGGGCTTCTTTCCTTTTCCTTTGTTGTACTTTCCTTTGTATCCTTTGTTGACAGCTCCAATGTCCATAGGTGCCGGTCCTCCTTGGGCGTGTGTTGAGACGCTGGATGTCCCAGGTTGCTGGTGTAGCCTGCTAAGGGCTGTGGTGGCTCTGTAATATTCCATGATTGTTTCACGTACCTCTACGTATGTTGGTGTTGCTCCTGCATTCAAGTGCAGGTGTTGTTGCAGTGGGCCTGATGTCTCGTTCATCAGGACTGCAATTTTGATTTGGTCTGGTAGTGCTGTGTTGTTGTCTCTCTCATACCTTGAGAGCTCGAATTCCCAGTTGGAGAATGACTCCTCGAAGTTGTTGCTGTCAAATGTTGGCTTGAGCAGCTTTGTTAGGTACCCTATGCTTCTTGTTCCTAATGGTATGGCAAACCTGTTGCTGAGCTGCCTGTAGGTCTCAAGTCCCATCTCATGTTGATACTGTCTGCACACTGTTGCTGCAGCTCCTGTTGTTACGTTCACAAGTATGTACTTCAAGTTGTTGTCTAGTTGTACCCATCTGTCGGCTTCCTCCATGTTCTGTGCTGCTCCTCTCAAGTCTGCTTCTGTAAGTCGTTGTGTGGATGTTGCTGCACGTCGTAGGATGTTGGGGTAGAATGGGTCCATGAGGCCCATGTATGCTGTGAATTTGTATTTCCACTCCTCAAATGTGGAATAGTTGCCATCGTATGTTGGGGGCTTGAGTTTGAGCCGGTGTGTTGCTGCCAACGCTTCTGTCTGATCCTCTAGTGGTGCTGTTGGTGATGCCGCCATTGTTGCTTTGTAAAGTTTTGTTGAAGCTCCTCCAATGTCTTGGGATCAAGGCTTCTCCCTGTTGTCAGAGTGTTGTTGTTCAGCTGCTGCTTCCTCTGTTGTCTGGTGTGTTGTTTGTTGGGTGTTGTGCACAGTAATTGTTGAGAGTCCCCCAGTGTTCTGGGATCAAGCCCTCTGCCTGTTGTTTACTGCTGTTGCTTGGAGATGCCCCTGGTAAGGCAGAGCTCCGCTACCATGTAAAAGTGCGAGATGTTTCAAGCACTGTTGTCAAGCTGCAACTGTTGGCACCTTTTGCTGTTGCACGCACTCAATCTGTATGTTGTCAACAGGAGTTGACTCAAGGCCTTGAACCACAGGCCAGTGTTGATATGACATGTTGAATATGTACATTGACACAACCAACCAACCAACCAACCAACCAACCAACCAACCAACCAACCAACTAACTAACTAACTAACTTATCTATCGATTTATCTATCTATTTATCTATCTGTCTATTTGTTCGTCTAGATGGATGCTTGGATGGAGAGAAGGAACATGATAAGTATGAAATATATCATTCCATGCCATCAACTCATTCTCCGGTCGTTCTCCTGCCACTGCCCGCGCCGCACGCGCAGCTCGGCGCGCTGGCACAAGGCCTCTGCTCGGACCGCCTGGTAGTGGAAGCCCCAAGCCCAAAACAGAAGAAGCGACCTGTGTCCAAGCTACTTGGATTGCAATCATCACTCCAAAAGACTTCAAAACGAAATGTTCAAGCAGAAAATTTAATTCCATAGAATGAAGGTTCTGGTCATTTTCTCTATGGTAGTATTGTTGTTGTGCTGCTAGCCGCGAGCCTCATCATCTGTGGCCGCCTGAATGGCCTTCGAACAGGGGAGACAGCTGGGAAACGTCCCTCACATGGCAAGAAAGGAGTCAAAAAACTACTGGATGCCCCAACACGAAGATGACAAGAACATATCCATCAATTTCACACTGAATTGGCAATGACATGAATTAACATGCACATTTAAAAAAACAGTAAGCTCCACTAAACCCCCCTAACTCCTGGTTTGGGTTCAGGTTCTAAACTGAAAACCTCCATGCATTGGGAGGTCGCCAACCCACCTCCGTCAGCAGCTGAATGGCCCGCGCCAGGTCGCCCATCTGCACCGCACCCGCGGCGCGGCGCAGGGGTGATTCGAATCCTCAGGCGGAAGAGGAGTTCCCTGGGTGGGTTCCCTTGATGAACGTGAAGTTTTATGATGTTTATATATATATAATATATATATATATATTTGAATAGGAAACTGTTTTTTTTTGCATTTTTTGAATGATTCTTGATGGGGAATTGAATTGCAGATGTTTTCTTTGGTTGATGTTTTGATGAAAACATGTTGGAAGGGTGAAGTGTTGATATTGACAAGTTCGTCATCAAATCAAGAGCGGTCCACCTTCCAAGATGAAGGTAAATCATGGTAAATCATATATGTGTGTTGTTCTTTCATGTGTTCAAGCCCCCTTTTGTTGCAAACAAATCGGTACATATTGAAATCTTTTGAAAACAAGGATAAAATAAGTTTTGGACTCATGGGTGCCGCATCAGTAACCCAGGCTGGCTAGGGGATTATCCCCAATCAGTGACAAAAAGGGTATTCACCAACCAACTACGGCTTTACAAATCCGAGGTTAAGATTACTATATTCAACACAGGATGTACAAATGTGTAACAAAGTTTGATACATAGTACACAATTATACTGTTTATAATAATAATATTATATTATTATTAATATTAATAATGATAATAGTTAATATATATATATATACATACTTATATACCAAGATTTGTATTTTGTAAAGGTTGGTATGCACAAAATTCAGCAAAGGCTCTCTGCCGTTGCTGCGCCTTTTGCGACATCCGTTCCTTGGCCTCGGCACTGAGGCGAACTTCACAGCTGCGCGTGGTGATGGAGTCCTTGGGAAGCCGGTGGCAGCTCGGTGTTTCGGATGGTCCCTGATTTGGGCCAGAGTGATAAATGGGATTAGTATCTGGCTGATATTTGGAATTTGGAATTTGGAATATTAATATCTGGCCCGGCTGATATTTATCCCTGATTAGTGGTAAATTTGGAATTTGGGATGCTATGGGCTGAGTATAGGATCAACGAATTTGTGATACATACGATCATATACGGATATCTGGAGTGGTTATTGACCGGGTTCTAGTTGTTTCATCGGAGCTCACGGAAGGAGGGGAGAAGGGTTCAACTCTTTGCACATGAGTTGTCAACCCTTGTGCTCCAGTGGGGTAATTTTCAAGTTGGCAAGTAGGTCATGGTAGTTTGGGATAGTTTAGGTCATTAACTCCCAAATTCCCTTCTTAATTAGATCCCAATATCATCCAATATCCCACAAGTTCCAGAGGTTATTAGTCCCCACATACAATCAGTCATCATATCACATTAGAAACCATTTACAAACCAGTTACCATCACTTCAGTCATCCCAACAACGCCGTTGGCCACGCATCCTCCCCAGCCGTCACCACGCAGGTGTAGCTTCCCTCGGCATCACAGGCGCCGCTCAACACCAAGCGCGGCAGCCCGGCGCGGGGCAGCGGCTGGCCGTCCTTGTGCCAGCTGTACTGGACACGTCCTGAGGCCACAAAAGGGACTTGGAATGTAAACAAACTGGTGAAGATCCAGATAGTTCTGCCAAGACTGGGGACTGCTACGAAATCGCATTGTAAATTGTAAGTTTTGGATAGACATGTTGTTGACTATTTATACTATTTACTATTTTCCATAGGACCCTTCACCTGCAAAGGCGAAGATGTTCTTGAGTTGTGGCCAAGAAGGTATGATGGCCCCAGCCAAGCCACGGGCACTGGAAGGCTCGCTGAAGCTGATCACATCGCAAAGCAGAGACATGGTTCCAGTGCCGATTTCTACGCCTCAGCAAAGGGTAACTGTGAGAAAACTATGTTTTTCTCCACCAGAATTGGTCGAAGCCAGCAACAAATCACATAAGTAGGCCACAAGGTACCGGGCGCAAGAAAAGAATTCAATAGTTTGCAATCCTGAATTGACACCATGGAATGATGCCCAATTGTGGGAACATATGGGCTTTCAACTCCATCTTCCTAATTGGCAAACACTTCGGAGCTCATGTGAAAACATCCAGCAGATTCCAGCACCAAACCAAGATGTCTGAGGGGGCCAACCGCTGCATCCCAGCGGCACGGTGGAGGCTGCCGCACCAAAATCAGCTCAGTGGATCCGGTGGCGTGTGCGTGGTGGATGCTCTCCAGCAGCCGTCTGAGGATCGAATCAGCAAAAATGGAGGGTTTACCCGGTTTAGCCTGGTATAACAATAGAACCAATATATGAAAAAACTATAATTAAAAAGGATATAAGGCTTATAAGCTGGTACAGTTTAACTCTAACATCTGGATGGGTTCAATATACTGGGACCATCTTTGGGGGGTGAACAGGCATTTAATTTAGCAGCTGTTTTGCTGTTTACCCGGCCCGGTAGCAGTGCGCGGAATGACACATACCCAACTTGTGAGTGCTTGACATGCTTTACCCATCCCAACATCCTGGCCCTCGAACGACAACATGAAACCCAAGCATCTCACGTATGCATTTGCCATCGCTAGCAACCCCAAAATATTAGATGGATAGATTAAAAATTGAACAAGTGGAAAGTATGAGGTAATTCATATCTATCACTTTTTAGGTTCAACCTATATTGTATCTTTTTGGGGCATCTCTGAAAGGTTTTGACATGTTTTGACCCATTCCCAGACCCAAATCATCCCGCAGTGCCTGGCATCGGCATCTCCTTCTGCAAAGGCCGTGGCCGTCTTCTGGCAGAGCATGCTGGAGGTCTTCTCTTGGAGAAGGCGCCTCAGCTACGCCATGAATCCCGCATGAAGGGAAACAGAACAGACCACAGCGTGGTTTTTTTGACAGCTGAAAAAATCACATTTGACATGATGGTTTGTTTCCCCATGAAACCACTACAAACATGGATTTCCCCATAGTTTGATGCTGAAAACACACATTTAACGCATTTACACGGGTTCCTTGCAATTTTTTGCTTAAGCACGCCTAAGCCAAGCCAACAGAATCGTGCCCTATTTACATAGATCCTCTGAACATCAATCGTGCTCTATTTTGGTGGCGGAAATCAAAATCCTCGGCGAAAAACTCCGCCCTTCAGCCACGGCTCAACCCCTTCAACGCCACGGCATCCTCCGGCGCACAGACCTCACAGCGCAGCCCAGGAAACAGTTCCTGCACTTCTTTGCATGCGCTGCACGTGGGACTTCCGAAGGGCACCTTCAGCAACATGAGCAGAATATCATCCAAACCAACCCAAAATTTATAGTAACAACAACAAAACACGTAACTGACTTAACATGCATTCACCAAATGTTCGTTGAAATACTTGACCTATCATCGATGCGTTTAATCAAAAATCATCCAACAACATCCAATATTTACCAATTTCTAACTGGGTTTGACTGAAAATTGGGTATCCCTAAATCCATCCGTTTATCATGTTTTTCCATCTGTTTCAAGTTTCCCATGAAAACAGAGATATTTTGGGTGTAGCGTTGGTAAAGACAAAGCCCTGAGGATCCATGCGCATAAATAGGGCCAAATCAGACGTGCATGCAAATAATGAAGTCATTTCTGATGATTGCAAAAGCGCATGCATTGTCGAAATGTGACAGTCGGAGATTGTACTTTATCGGAAAGGTGTCATACTGGCTTCAAAGTGCCTAACAGTTGCGTGACAAACTGTGACAAACAGTGACGAACCGTGATAGAAAACAAAAAACTATACTCAAATTTTGGGCATTGTCGGAAAATGCCGTGACAGACCGTGACAAACCGTGATAAGGCCAGCGGCTATTCCCTACAAATTGTCGGAATTTATCGGAAATCAATCGGAAAATAAACAGTCGGAAATGCATGCAAAACCATGGTCAGACCGCAAATAGCATGGTCGGACGCTCTGAGAACGTGCATACCCAAATGCATGCAAATAGTCCATACTTTGGATCCCCATGCAGGGAAATAAACCATCATTTAACCATCAATGGGTGCTATAAACCATCAAACAAATGGGTGGTTTATGACATTGCTTTAATTACCAGTACCCCATTACAGTTTGACATGCCTTCACTTAACATTAACATTCCGGCGAGGTTTCGCCGCCCCCCGATTTTGGAAAAACCGTTGCTGCGCCACAATGCCGTGTCAATTTTGTCGTGTTTTCAAAATTTTAATGGTGGTAACCATGGCACGGTTTTGTGCTCCAAAACGTGTCGGATATTCTCAAACCTTTTTTGTGCCTCAGAGTTCCGCCAGAGATTCTCCCGTTTCTTTCAGGGGATCTCTGTCACCAAGTTCCCAGTGCAAGAGAAGATCTTACAACGTAGCGGCCCAAGTGTGTGCAGGTGCGAGAGAAAATCGTACAACGTAGCAGCGCAGATGTGTGCAAGTGCAAGAGAAGATCTTACAACATAGCGGCCCAAGTGTGTGCAGGTGCGAGGAAAGATCGTACAACGTAGCAGCGCAGATGTGTGCAAGTGCAACGAAGATCTTACAACGTAGCGGCCCAAGTGTGTGCAGGTGCGAGAGAAGATCGTACAACGTAGCAGCGCAGATGTGTGCAAGTGCAAGAGAAGATCTTACAACGTAGCGGCCCAAGTGCGTGCAGGTGCGAGAGAAGATCGTACAACGGAGCAGCGCAGATGTGTGCAAGTGCAAGAGAAGATCTTACAACGTAGCGGCCCAAGTGTGTGCAGGTGCGAGAAAAGATCGTACAACGTAGTGCAAGAGAAGATCTTACAACGTAGCGGCCCAAGTGTGTGCAGGTGCGAGAGAAGATCGTACAACGTAGCAGCGCAGATGTGCGCAAGTGCAAGAGAAGATCTTACAACGTAGCGGCCCAAGTGTGTGCAGGTGCGAGAAAAGATCGTACAACGTAGCAGCGCAGATGTGTGCAAGTGCAAGAGAATTAGCGGCCCAAGTGTGTGCAGGTGCGAGAGAAAATCGTACAACGTAGCAGCGCAGATGTGCAAGAGAAGATCTTACAACGGAGCGGCCCAAGTGTGTGCAGGTGCGAGAGAAAATAGTACAACGTAGCAGCGCTGATGTGTGCAAGTGCAAGAGAAAATCTTACAACGGAGCGGCCCAAGTGTGTGCAGGTGCGAGAGAAGATCGTACAACGTAGCAGCGCAGATGTGCGCAAGTGCAAGAGAAGATCTTACAACGTAGCGGCCCAAGTGTGTGCAGGTGCGAGAAAAGATCGTACAACGTAGCAGCGCAGATGTGTGCAAGTGCAACGAAGATCTTACAACGTAGCAGCTGGAGCGTTTGCAAGTGGAAGAGAAGATCTTACAATGTAGCGGCCCAAGTGTTTGCAAGTGCAAGAGAAGGTTTTAAATGCGCGCGTAGGTGCCAGAAAATCTTACAGCGTCGCATCACAAATGTGTGCAAGTGCTGGATAAGATCTTGCAACGTAGCATCACATGCGTGCGCAGGTGCAAGAGAAATTCTTATAGCATCACATGTGTGTGTGAAAGTGAACATGAACGTTTATAATCCACCCCACCCCACCCCAGCCAAAACCCCACTCCAGGCGTGACGTCACACATCTTCAGCGTCGCATCACGTATGTGCGCAAATGCTAATGAACGTGCCATGACTGAGCATGACCTGTGCGCGGAAGTGCAAGTGAACGTTATTGTCCCACCCCATCCCAGTTTTGTTGGCCGGTAAAAGATCAGCATTAACATGCCTTCAACAAACTTACAGTATAGTTAAGATACTTTACATTAATTAATTCGCATATATATAAATATACATATATATATATATATTGAATAAAATTATCCTATGTCCCCAGCCCAGCACCTCTATCTCTTCATCTTGCCGCAGCTCCAGGCGCAGCTCCTGGGGCCAGGTCGCCAGCTCAGGCGCGGCCGCGTCGCTGAGGTCCGAGCGGCAGAAGGAACGGAGCTCGCCCGCCTGCGGGTATAATATAAGACCGAATTATATGATGTTAGGTAAACAACAAATGGTTTGATGAATGTGTAAATATTATAAGATGTATATATATATATATATATCTTCAAATTGAATATAAACTGAATATATGTGCGTGTGCTATGTTGTGAAACGATTACTGTAGTTTTGTCAGAGACCTTGAACGAGGGTCGTGAGAAGGGTGGCCAACTCATTATTGAGTGACCAACAAGCGTCAGCAAGTGAAATTAAAATTGGTGCACGTGTGGCAAACGCAGGTTCGATGACAAACAGGCACAATCCAAAGGGAACATCATCACATAGACTTAAACAAAATCGAATTGTCAAATGGATAAACCTCCAATGAGGAATGGCAAATATGAATTTGCATTTACAATTGCAGTGGGCGGTTTCAAACCCTCTCACCGAAAGGCATCACAGGTTCCATCCACCAAACGGAAAAAGAAGTGGTCATACGCTTCGAAAACGGGACGCAATGGGGAGTCCACACGCCCACTAGCTGCAATCATCCCATGAGATCATTGTACTCCTAGTGGCGAACAAGGCTAGCCTTTCCCCGCCCTGGGTGTCCATGTTGATATGTTGAAATGTTGAGAGCATTTCCAGAGGTGAGGGTTTGTTTTGGAAGTTTTTCTTTTCTCACCGTTTGAGCCTGCTGCCCATGCCATCCTATATCAATTTCAAACCTATAGGGTCTCAACATCTTGCCTGCGGAAAACTGCTGGCAAAGTACCTGCGGCAGCAGCTGGATCCATCCTCAAACATCAATGTGGTACAGACATGTACTGACAGATAGGCTAGATTAGATGAGTTTAGTTTAGCTTGGATTCGGTTATATAGTTAAAAGGTTAGGTTAAACAAATTACATATATTTTAACCGATTAAGGTAGACCCGATCTGGATGGATTGAAGTAGTTTAGATTAGGTAAGCTTGCATTATCTAGATTATGATAAAGATAGAAAGGCTGACAGGCTAAAACTCAATAAGCATCGAGAGAACATGAGATAGGGACAGATAGAAAAACAAAGAAACATAGATACATAGGTAGGCAAAAAAGCTGAGGTAGGTTAATGAAAAAATGATAGGACGGAGGAAGCTAGGTAGATAGATAGACATAGATATAAATATAGAAGTTTAAAAAAGGCAAGTACAACGATAAAGAAAAACAGATGCAAAAATGCATATAGGTAAAGAGTAAAAATAAATACATAGAAATATAGTTTCATACACAGGTAAGTATAGGTATGGAAATAGATGAAGATATAGATGGGTAAATACACAAATTAAAGATCCAAAGCGACAGAAGCAGATAAAGATAGATATAGACAGCTATGAAGAAATTTTGATCGAGATTGATAGATATAGATAGGGATTGGCGCAGACGCAGACTGGCAAAGACCAATATCCCGTTATGGATCATAGGTACAAAAAGAAACTGGAAGATACAAACACGAAGAAATAGATAGATGTGGCGATACAGGTTGACATCAGGAACGAGATAGAGATGGGCAGGTTGACAGATATAAAAATAGACTGATGGATAGTTAGATGAAGAGATGGAGAGATTGATGGCAAAACGCACCTGTCTGCAAAAGACACTGTCAACCAAACAATCTTTTATATGTTTACCAAGCCCGGCCTCTCTAGCATGATTTCACCTATCCGTCTGTTTGTTGCAGGTCTACCAAAGTGTCTCTCTAACTACCTGCAAAATGTGTCCAGCTACCGGTCCATGCTTATGCCGCTGCATTTCTGATGCTTGTGCTAGCTGGAAACCAAATGAGCTTTACAGGCGTGGCGCTGCCTTTCCCCCATGCCGTTGCACGTGGAACAAAATTCGGGCCGGCTGATCCTAAGCATACCAGCTAGCGGGGATCTACCACGTAGTTGATTTTCTGGTCAGCGCATGTGGCTTTGACCTGCTCACGATGTAGATACGGCACCGCGAACGAATACCATGCTCACATCAGTTTTCGGCGCATTGTTTAAGCCCTCCGTCACATCGACACATAAAGACCTCAAACCACAAATGTCCGGAATAACTTGGAGAAAAAATCTGAGAGAAACGCCCACAAACTGACATTCAACCTGGCAACATTCTGCTGTTCTATCTGATGCTTTGTCTGACATTCTATCGGACATATATTCTGCCAATGTTCGGACTTTCTATTCGACATTTCATTTGGCATCTTTTGTTTGACAATGTATCTCAAATATATGCTCATGTTTTTGGCATTTTGTCTGGCATACATTTTGACATTTTATCTGGCAGATATTTTGACAAGCTTTCTGGCATTCTAGTTGATATATAGACACAGGCACACACACATATGTATACACATATATGTTGGAACTTGTTTTTAATTAGAATAGAAATATATGTATATTTATCTCTGACAGTGTGTCTGTCACTTCATCTGACAAGAATGCTGACATTTTATCAGGCATTCTATCGGGCATATATTCTGCCAATATGACTTTCTGTTTGACCTGGTACTCATTGTATGCCTGAAATATCTTCCGACATTTTTATGACATCTCTCCAGGCATTTTATCTCGCTACTGAACATTTCATCTGACACGTATTCTGACATCCTAGTGGGCACTTATCACCTTGTTTGATATGTTATCTGACGTTTTATCTGACATTCTACAAGGCATTTGCTCTGACATACATTCTGACATTCTCACAGTTTATCTGGCATTCTATCTTGGATACATTCTGACATATATTCTGAAAGTTTATCTGACATATATTCGGACATTTGGAGCACTGCCTGTTGGTTAGCACCACCGTATAGTACCCACCAAAGAGATCTACAGTAGTGTTTTTCTTTACTATTCTCTGCCGTTTTGCCTACTTTGCGTATGATCACGTATCATCTCCATATTATCAGTTCCTTGATATGGCTTAAAACTGCAGCAAAACAGGACCCGTCAAATTGGTTGTGGGGTTATGAGTCATTGAACCCAACTATGAATCAAGTCAGATCGAATTCCTACCTTGAAGTTATTGAATAAGTGCAAGAATTGTGGCAATGTTGTCAATACAATAATCAACTACCCATTTGGGAAATTTTGGGAATAGTTTATACCACCTAAAAAAATTGTGATTTGGGGGATGGTTTATGAAATTGTTTTAAGTTTTAAGCACATTACATGAGAATCCTATCCAAACTCTGAAGCATGGGATCATCCCATTCAACCTGCAGCGAACCAAACCAGGCTCTGGTACTGGCTGGCCCCGTTTGGAATTTATGTGTTACGGACCACAAGGAGCATAGTGGCTTGGGTTTACCACCTGGTATGTCCGTCAGGTCTGAGCACGTTTGTGCCCATGACTTCGGGGATTCGACTCGGATCCAACATCGCCCCTGTGAAAGGTGTTGAACAATTTGAAGTCACGACTTGGCTGAAGAAGTGTGGTCATGTGGTAAAGCTCAATAACTAGCCTACCATTTGGGGATTGCTGTACTGACCAACTACGATAATATCTAGAAGGAAGTGCTTATAATGAGTTTCCCTGCATCTACATTTCTCAGCATCTCACGCTTCAACTTGCCTAAGGAAAGGGACAGCCAGAAACGAAACCAGCCAACCTGGTAGGTTGCTTCACTCCATGAGGAGAAAAACCATGACCATTTGATTTTATGTACCATTTGGCTTGGTGATATAAATCCCTTCCTGACAACTTGGCATGCTTATTCCTGCAGAGACTCGTGAACAACCCAGGATTCTCCAACGGCACAGGCTGAACTTCCACAGAATGTGACATCAAAAACTCATCTTTCCCATCAATGCGAAGAAGCACGAATAATGAAATACTCAAGCCAATTATATGTTTGTATGAATATGCATATATGCATGCATGCATGTAATCATGTATATGCATGTAAATACATGTATATAAATGTATATGCATATATTTACATTGACCCATCTTGTCCCAATAGAAGGATTCAATCTTTTACACGTTTGGAGCAAAGAGAAGACATGAATATCTGTATTTCACGGGCAAGTTAAGTGGTCTAGGCAGCCTAGGGCATACGAACAATAACCTAGCTTTTACCTGTATAACTATATACAATATATATATATATATAATATACATGTACGCCCGCCGATATGCTTAAGACATGACTAAATGATTTATACATTGTGTTATCAACATGAAATCCGAGATCAAACCCACACATGGTCAAGCCTTCCTTTTGCGGCCCCGGATGAGCCCCCCATGGTTTCGAGGAAAGGGCACATACAATGTGCGTGTTCCAAAAATAAATTCAAATCCAGAAAATCACCAATAAACACATCAACCCCAGAAGAAGACAAAGAAAACGCGTCAAAAATCAATCAGTTAAGCAATATCACTGGGTCCAGGTGCAACCCCAAAGCTAGGTTTTGAATCCTTAGTTCCCATTCTTTTGTGCAAAAATATAAGACATTTCCCCAAAATTTTGGCCCACGTCAACGGCCTGGACCTTTCAAGTACCCATCAAAAATTTGGCACTTCACCCCATTTTTTTCGTACTTTCAAGGGTCTAGATACCTTGAAATTGCTTGAGGAACCCCCAAGAACAAAACGTATTCCCTGAAGATTCCCCACATGGTGGATTTCGGGAAAATGAGAAAAACAAAACATCAGCAAATCCAGAATAGTTGATTTTCCCAGCTACAAACCTTCCTTGATAATGAAGTTTCGCAATTTTTCCCATGATTTTCCTATCATCTTCAGCACATCGAGGGTACACATATCATGTTTGAAGGTCGAACCCAGCCCTGGCGCACCAGCCAGGCCCTGCTCCAAAGCGTTCAGAGAAGACCAACCAAACCTCATCACCTCGGACAGCGTTCCACCGGATGCCTATGGGTCAAAAATGGTCAAAACCCTCGTACCCCATGGATGGATGGGTATTCCCCAATATATGGTTTTAATCATCCATTCATTTATGTGCAGTTAAAACCTTTAAATTGGGTTACCCAATTTCATGTCATTTCAAAGGTTTTAACCATTTTAACCCATCTATATATAGATTCAAAATGATTTAGTGAACAGTTTTCGGATTCCAAATGATTGAACCAATAATCGTTGACAGTGAGCAATCAACTGCTTTTTGATTCCAGATTATTGAACCAATAAAAATGATAACTGATAAATCACACAATGTAGTTTGCCTTTCCACTAGGAATACGATCCTCCAAAGCAATTTTTGGGTGGGATTGCATGTGTCTTTTTCCGTTTTCCACGACGCAATTGAAGGGTGCAAAGCCATTAGTTTCTTCAGACATGCTAACTAACATAATGAAGGGCGGATAATGAATTGTGCAATACGATCCATCAGCACTAGGTGGGGTGACGTCATAGCGCCGATATATATATATATATATATGTCTATATATACATACAGAGTAGTACCCGCATTTGTCCAGGTAAATTGTAGTAATTCTCTGACAAGAAATTTCGCTTACTAACCATCATTGCAGTGAGGTCGCAATGAGATCCTTATAATTTTCCCAGAATAATTAATTGTGATCATGTTTGGCATCAACCCCCTCCACCATAAACAGCGAAACCGCCAACAGCACCAGCACCAACATCAACGTCAACCATTTGTCGTCATCTTTATCATCATCAACATCATCATCATCATCATCACCATCATCCTCCTCATCTTCAGCATTTCATCTTCATCGCACATGCCACCAAGCGACAGTTCTTGACATATGCGGGGCGGCCTTCGCAAGAGCCGCTCTCCAGGTACTGTCCCGACAACTTGGGATGAGCGCTGCGGACCGTCAGCCGCCGTCCCATTGGTTCACTGCTTTGTGGTTTAGCCACCCAACTTCAAAGCACGGCCTATTTTGTTGATAACATGCATGATATGCATGCCTTTTGCTCGTGAGTACATATTCATATTATTTCATATTCGCAGCTATGGCAGAAAATTAAAGTACTCAACTACCCAGCCATGGTTTCCCCAGTTGAAAGTCCGGCGGGAATCATTGTTATCTAGGTAGGGTTGATCTACTACAGCTGGCGAAACTGAAAGAAATCTATGAAGTTCTGGCTTTTAACCTCTACATATATAGCATCTTTGGAGCCACAGTTGCTGAGTCAGAACCCCAGGTCTTTTTAATGGGCGCAAGCTGGTTCAACCGACTTCAACCGTTCATCACATTATGTTGCTCGCAATATCTTCCAATCTCACAGCATCTTATAGCCAGTTCTTGACTTATTTGACTTCAATAACCCAGCTGTGATCCAATATGATTCCAATCTAATGATTCAGCTTGTCACTTTCAATGGATTGGTTATGATTGGTTTAAGGGAAAAAATCCATTGAGCCCCATGAATGCATGGGAAAATCCATGGTTTCCTGCAGATTTTCCTGTAAACCAATCCATTGTCACTTGGGGGATCCACTTCCGCTTGATGATGAAGAGCTGCAATGGCGCGGGCCAAGCGCTCAAGGCCGGAAAACAGCAAACCCTGATGAAAATTCCCCGGTTTCACAGACCTGACCGAAGCATGTTTCTTTTACAATGTTGCTTGAGCGTTTGCTACACTGTGACTTAAGAAGAAGGTAAAAGAAAGTCTAACGAGTGGTTTACTTAAAACTTAAGACGGGACGGACAAAGTGTCCAAACAATATTTCGTTAGACACTGCCGCCATCTCAGCTTTTCAACACAGGCACAGACTGGTGACGAAGCTGTCGGCTAAGACTGGGCACCTTAACCCAGAGATCATACCATCGGCAGCGACATAGCTGGCGCTAGGAAGCACCGCACCCATGACATCATGGAATCCAGCAAAAAACAAAACACAAAGGAATGGCACAGGAAGGCCCACCCCTAAATAGGTGTCTGTTTGTTCTAAGATTATATAGATCTACAATAACTCCTCAAATATGTTGAAAATATGGTGGATATTCTATAGCTTGGGGGATTTGTAAACCAAGCTATAACTGGGCTGGGCCTTCCAAGATGATGATATAGCCCCAGGCACAATGCAGGTGACCTATGACTATGACAGCCTGGAGGTCACCGCAGGTGGCAAACGTGTAGCCCGACCCAAGGGGATCCTCCAGGCATTTGAACCTCGCAGGTTCCCTTTGGATTCCATGATTCTGGACAAGTCATGGGTTGGTCCGCGATGACTCCGATAATTCTTCAGAACCCCAGTGCAAAAAGTGGTGCAACAGGAGCTGAGTCCAGTAGTGGCATCCTGGAACCCAAATAACCTTCAAGTCTGGGGTGGATATCCATGCTTTTTGACTTTATTGGTTCAAAACACTCTCTCTAGGTCTTTGATGGTTTTTGCAGGTCAATTGGGTTCCCGGATGGGGTCTATGTTTGTCTCAAAATGTCTTAAGTCTCCAAAGTTTAGGTCCCTTGGGCGCGCAGCATCTCTGAGACACCCTGTGAGCCACACCGCCGTTGCGCGGGCATGATGCGGGACAGGATCCGCAGGCATCAACCAGGGCTGAGTCAGGGCAGAACGCCCCGAAGCTGGAGTAGCTTGGATCTGTCTGAATCATTTCTTGTAGATGTTTATTCAACTTGCGCGCGCATTTGGGACTGACCGAGATTCATCCTAGATTCTGGGGTTCTCTAAACTCGCGTCAGCGGTGTCAGCGGTCTGGTTGTTCCTCACTCTCCTGGAGGATGAAGCTCCGCCGCAAGAGTTTGAAGTCCCAACGATAACCCACATAGCATCTGGGCTATAACTCCTTTCAAACATGGTCCTTAACCATGCACAGATGGGGGTTCAAATCCAAGTACCCCGAAAGGACTATAGTGGATCAAAAGTTGAATGTGATTTCACTGGTGAAAGTAAGGATCTTAACTCAAGTCGAGTACAGGTTAATGAAACCAACCAAAACTTCAGAATGGGATCGGAGGCGCTCCAAAAATGTGGTCCATCCTTTTTTCACGGACCCAGTTGATGATATTGGGACATAATGGGACTGCAATCCTCCAGACTTTCCGGGCAAATCGTTCCAAAATGGACAATTTTCACGGCAGTGCCATGATTTTTTGGTCAACCCCACAGGGGTTCGTGGAAATGGCTGGGGCATGCTGGGGCCCGTCTCCTCTGCATAGCCATCCTTAGGCCTCAACTTGTCTTCTATTCTTCTCTTGATCTCTCCTTGGCTGAGGCTGACTGTTGCACTTGGTAGTTGGGAGAAACTGTGACTTTGGGCAGGAAACACACATGAGGTCGAGAAAGAGAATGAGAGAGAGAGCGAGAGAGAAAGAGAGTAATTAAAATGGTACGTGTCAACTTGTCTTGCATCTAGCATCATCTAACTATGTAATACGTACATTCAAATATCTTCGCATAAAATATCGTAGACATGTGTCCACACGCATGCAGTGGCCGCAAGTTAGACAACCAGGGCTATCTCTGCACCTCTCAGCTGCTTCTAGGGGGGTTCTTCAAACACCAGCACCAAAAAGGGGTCCTTCTTGTCAGGAAAAACGCAGTTTTGAAATTCCTCATTCCGAAGTGATACAACACACACACACATATGCATATTATATCTATATCTACAGTGCTGCCCCAGCCAAAACATGGACCACCTTGGTCGCGGCCATAGCTTCCCCCAAAGCTATGGCATGAGCTGCAGCAAAGCTTCCAAAGCTGACTAGTTCAGCTGGCCCTGATCCCTCATCAGTGCAGCACCTGCGTTCGCACCAACAAGGTGAGCTGAAATAGGAATTAGAATGGTGATTTAATGGAAATCTTCAGGATCTGCAGTTGGCAATTTCTGAAGCAGCTTGGGGAACACAACTCCAATCATTCCGAAATGAAGAGCTTGCATCCAATACAGGTGTAGGTCAAAACTGAAGACCTTTTGTTGCTTTTTGGTCGCCAACCAGCGCGTGATTGGGTTTAGATGTATCCATTTGTCATAAATCCATTTTGTTGGATCCATTTTAGGGACCATCTGGGGTTATTTCGTATAGATCAGATCTATAGCCCCATTTCAGAATTGCTAAATGATATCTGACGGCATTTTGGATGGTGAACCCCCCACCTCACTGAGTTGTAGTGCTGCCCTGCATGGTGTGTCGGGTGGAACGATAGCCTTGGTGGAGTGACACCCAGGGGCCACCACCATCTCTACTTGCGAGGGGTTTTCTTTTTTACGAGAGGTCGGATATTTAAAACTGTCAACCAAAAGTTGAAAGTTGCATCAGTTGTTACTAATTAGAAAGTAGACACTCACTCAGAACAAGTTCTGAAGGCAACTAGGTACTGCCAATCTGAGGTTTGCAGCGCAAAATCCCAAGGCCATTTGCTAAACTCCCCAAGCCTCCAGCCTTTCAACTGGACACCAGCGCTCTGGCATTCCGGAATTGTGCATCAAACCCCGCAAGCCGCCCAGTTTCTGTGGCATTTGGAGCATGGCTCATGGTTTTAAATCTATCTGTCAGGTGGTATCGATCAACAATCATCACACTAAACAGTAAAAGCAGTTCATTAATCATCCGACATCATGGTGTAGTTTCAACCTTTTACCCAATGATATCCCAATGATAAATAGTAATTGGCCAGGGTGATTTGATCAGTTCTCTAAGCAGCACGAGCCCAGGAACTGTACGCAGCCAGCATGTTCGTCGCTGGCCTGAATTTCTACTGCAGATCTCAGGATCCTGAGGATGTTGCAATGAAGGCGACCAAGGTGGAAATGAGGGCCCTCAAACGCTTGGGAGGTGATGATGGGTGTAACAATGATGAATCATGATGACTTCTTGGGCTGTCACAAAAAGTGAAACTGGTTATGCCGCTATGCCCTCATTTGTATACTCTAATAAATCAGACAGTTTTAACTGATAACTGATTTCTTGTGTTGAACAAGTGGATTTTACTCTGCCAAGTTTGTTTTATCAGCCAACACCCTGCTCTGAGTAAGGTTTTCTTCCAAACGAACCGGAGCTCAGTCACAAAGAAATGAGAACCAGCAATATTGATTCACTTGAAACATGTGGCCCGGTGATATTCTTTAATCAACGCAGCTTGGACCCCCGCAAAACATCAACAACTGAATATTGGGGTATCGGCCAAAATTTGGAGGCTAAAGGCGAGCCAAGCCCAGTGACAAGCAGTTCAGCCCGCTAGCGTTGTTGGTTTATTAGACACGTTTCAAAACCATTCTTACCATAGTCCCCTGCCAGATGCGCGTCCCCCTTCTACAAAAACACACCTTTTGGCAATCTAAATCCCAGCATTTTACCGATATATGTTCCCATATTTTCCAACAATGTTTCAATATGTTCCTGCTTTTTCCCATATGTTCCTATATTTTCCTGTATTTTCACATGAAAAATGGAGGATTTTCCCATTGCCCAAATTGGTTACCACCAGGCACTGGCCACCTTCGCCCCCCGCAACGCGCCGCGGCTCTGATCCGGTCTACCCGACGCCTGTGACGGCTGGTAGATGACCTACAGCGATGTGCCACGGCGGCTTCAACGCCAGGGGAGGGATAGGGAGATCACCCAATAGCAATGGGGATATCTGGGAATCACTTACTGATCTTACTGGTGCTTAGTAGGGAATGGATGGGAATGGGTGAATGGGATACCCTCTGGTAAATTAACATAGACCCTGGCAGATAGGGGTTGGAAGACTAGTTTCCATTAAAAATTGGTGATTTTCAGGGTCTATGTTTTTTTACCATAGGGTAATTATTACCAGTGATTATGGATCATTCCCTCATTCCCTACTAAGCACCAGTAAGATCAAACATGGAGATATCATGAAATATATGGAAATGGACATCAATGAAACTCACCTAATTATAATGGAAGTTTGAATGAGAAAATCAACAAACTACACGGTGGATTTTCCAGCAAAACCATGTTTGATTACCAGAGAGTACTAAGCAAGAACTATGGGGATATCAAGCATACTTCGTGAGTGGATTGCAGTTTGGAAGATGTTGGAATCAGCAATGAAACTGTTGAATCCCATTTCCTTAATGACCAACTGCCCCAAATGAAGAAGCGCACTAATTACCATCTGGTTATTTAACAGAGCCATGGAAAATCACCATTTTTAATAGGTAAACCATCTATAAATGGGCCATTTTCCATGGCTATGTTAAATAACCAGAGGGTAATTGCTATTGCTAAACTAATTACCCTCCAGTAAATTAACATAGACCCTGCCAGATAGGGGTTGAAAGATTAGTTTCCTCTAAAAATTGGTGATTTTCAGGGTCTATGTTAATTTACCAGAGGGTAGCTTCATGATTCTTGCTGTTTCTTGATAGGGGGAAGGCCGGGAAGGGGATTCCATGACATGCATCGTCATGCGGACGAGGCACTGCGTTGACTCCATTCCGCCGGGCTAGGGCTTGCACCTTCGCGTTGTGGCGCGATTGTGGGCACATAGCAGTCTCGCCTCTGGTGATGTCATACCTTAATAGGTAAATATAGGTGAAGTATCTCTAATTCTTCTATCAATATGGGCCATGTTCCTAGCTATTTGAATTACAAGAGGGTAAGTGATGGCGATCAAATTCATCCGATGGTTGAATCTGTAAGAGCGGGCAGAGCCCACTGCAAGGTTGGTCATAGATTCAGCGCATTGAAGGAACCAGGACTTTGAAGGGATTTCCCTCAAAATCTGAACTTTCACCCCCTGGAAATTCTGAACGAAAATCGAAAACGAGCTGATTACTGCCTGTGAAAAAATATCTATCCATCCATCCATCCATGTATCACGTATCTGTCTGTTTATCAACATTATATATATAATTATATATATATGCTCCAGAATTTGTAATATGTTTCTGGAGACCAGATATTTGCAAGTATAGATTAGTAATATGAACATTATATATATATACAGTATATATATATGTGTGTATATGCATATTAGATCTATACTTGGAAGTGGTGTGTTGGCCTGAGAACCTGGCCTCTACATGGCCGCCCCAGGTGCATCTCTGCCTCATCCGGCCTCAGCAGACATATTTATTTGGCGCCGCTGGTCATGGCTTGTCTGAACATGGGGTTACCCCGTGCTACCTCCTAAATCCACGGGTTTATCATCATGTTCCCAACATTTCCCAACACATATGCCATTTGCATCCATTTGGGTGGTAGAAACAACAGGAATTCAACCATCAGGTTAGACGATTTCACACGCAATCATGTGGATAAGCAACAAAAAAGAGGTACATGTTCCTGTTCTGCCACACCCCAGGCCAAACAAATCATCACTTGACTAACAACAATGGTATCCCACATGTTTTGTTCATTCGGCACCGGCAAAGACAATCCTCGTGTTGACATGCAGAATATCCCACAAAACCTTTCAAAGCAATGGTGTGTGGGAGCCATAGGGGGTTAAAGCTCTTGTATCTCTTGCTTGAATCCAGATCAAATGTACTCCACCTCAAGATAGTGGAATACAATTCGAAGATGCTTTAGGAACCGCCACGCACAACCATGACAAAACAACTTCAACTTACAATTTGCAAGCATCTGAGAAACTGAACCTTGCAACAATGCCCACTCCTATCTACATCTTGGAAGTTCCACAAACCCAGGTGTCGAATCGACCCTGAAGCCATGGTGCTGCAGTAGGACTCGAACTCGTCCTTGGCTGGTTAGTGGTTCAGGCCACTCAATATGTACTAAACATTTTTAAAAAATCAAGATCCTTCCCCCAGGTAAACTTGTATATACATATATATATATATCTCTTTCAAGACAACAACCAGAATTTGACTTCTTTGGTTGATCCTGACGGTCAGGCAGGCCCAAGCTGTCCACTTGTCCTTCAGCACATTTGCACATTGACAGCATCTATGGTGGACCCCAAGATAGGACAAATATGGAAAAGTGATTTACTCTGCTATCTTTTTTCGAGGGTGCCATTGAGCAATTGTATAATTCAATGTGTTCATGTATATCATATTGCTTCCATTCTCTCCCAAACCAAAAAAACTTTGATGAACCTGGCCTAAAGAGGCCCGGATAAGACAAAATACAATCCGGGGATTTTCAGGCAGCAACCTATTGAGCTTTCCCAGCCCCCTGGCCCTTGACTCTCTCTCTCTCTCTCTCTGATCTTTTTTCATCGAGACTAAGCGGCAAAACGCCGCCCTGAGGTTTTGAGCGCTCATGCAAGTGCGAGGGCACGAAGGCAGATTCATTGTCTTTGAGGGTGCATGACAGGGAATGGCCCCCGATGGTTTTCCAAAAGATATTGTTGAATCAACTAGCAAGGTTTTTCAAGTCGGAAAATCGGCCATAAAACTTACGGCCGGGCTGGCCTATCAAACAGCCCTGTCATCCACTCTCACAGCCAAAACCCTAAGGATTCCCATGAATTTTGCCACCTTAGGTGGCTACAATGTAGGCGCCAGCCACGTAGAAACCAGTCTGTTCAGCAATCAAGCGTTGGATGTCTTCGGACTCGGGTGTTGTTCTGATGCTTTGCGACTGAGACTCGTGGCAGGGATTCCTTGTGTACATTCCCTACAGCTGTCACGTCCATGCTCCGCAAACAACCATAGATATGGAGGAGCCTGGCACCATTGTGTCAACCGATGTCAACCGCATGCCTAAACAGTTGTAGAAAACCAGTCATTGAGGGGCCCTAAACTTTCCAAAGGAATAAAGAGCATGATAGCGCATAGATTCACAGCCCAGGCAAATTCGGTAATCAAGATACTAAGCCCAAAATAGAATACACAAATCAGCTATGTTTTGCAACAAACTGCTAGGCGATGCTTGTCACAACTATAGTAGCATCCACTATCATCAGTTGCTGTTTTTGTGATCTGCCGCACTCAAGAACGGTTTTTTGTGATACCTAGGGGGGTTGATCATCAACACTCGAGTTTCAGGACCTAGCTCAGCTAAAATGTGGTAAACAATTCAAGACCACCATGACTGGTGGTGATGCTTGATCTACATCTGACACATCTTACTATGAGCATCGACGCGTCGTTCATTGTGGGTCTCCGACTGGAGCTATATATTCTCTGCCATGCACCTCCGGATTGCTTGTGAATGTTTTTGCATGTGCCACAGTTATGGAGATCATGCGATGGGAGTGGACCCTCAAGAAACATGATCTTATGTTGATATTTTTTGATTGCCTCCCTGCTTCGACTATCTTCGAATGCACTCCTTCAGCCCCTTCCGGAGCTCCCAAAGAAGAAAAGGTCTGATGAGAGTGCATGGGCTGTCCGCAGCTCATAGATTGTGCTGATTGCTTTGATGACATAGCGGAAGAAGAACAAAGGAAAAACACGATTGTCGATAAAGGAGAATGACTATGATCGGGGCAAGGACAAACCCAACGCCCAACATAGCCATGATGGCTTATGACTATGACATGAGCGATCAACAAACATTTGGGCTTATGTGGCCACTTGCGGTGATTGATCTCTTGGCTTGACAAGAGGAGGTGCACGGAGGCTCTTGGCGCGAAAGAACTTTAAACACCATGTGGCAATGGCTCAACATCAAAGAAAATGTCATCTGGCTATGGATGCAAACCCTTGCAGCCTGTTTTTGTTAAACGAACTAGCTGGCAAATGGATCGTTTCTCAGTTGAGCCATGGCCACCGTAGAGCGAATCTAACGCAAGAGGCGCTGCGCGAGAGGTGGCTAAGTGTCATACAAGTCATGGCTGCTTCAAACACCTACTTTAATGTGATCCATATGTATCCAAATGGTTCACTTTTTTGAACCACACAAGTCTCAGAACCACACATAGTAGACTCCGGTAGGCCACCAAGCTTCAGCTTTTCATACCTACTCTACCTGCCATGCATATGCACACACATACATATATACATATATATATACATATGTATGTATAAATATATATATATATATATTATATAATGTATGTATTTTTGATGTATGTATTTTTTATGTATGTATGTGTATACATAGATATATGTATATATATATACACATACATACATGAACAATGCCTCACAGATCCTTACATCATTCAGCCATCCTCCTTTCAGCTTTTTCGCTTTTTCCTATCCACTTGCGCTGGCCGAGCACTCGGCACTCACTGCCGTCAACGGCTCCTGGTCACTGGCGGCCGATGGTGAGGCCTGTGTCCAGTCCTTGGCATACATCTCTTCCGTCTGCCGGCAGCGCACACCATCCAGCACACCATTGAAGACCTTGTTGGCATCCGACCTGGCAGTAAAGCAAAGCGGTTTGAGCTGTTGAGAAATTAGAAACACGTAATTCTTGCATCATTCATTGTAATCATTGTAATTAATCACTTGAGGATACTTGAGGTATTCTGCTCCAAAGATTTTTATGGTTCTCCGAAACGTGGATAGAGTATGATATATTTGGAGTTTGGAGGTATCCAAACAGAATGAATCATCCATGGACTCCTACATTTGCCAGCCTGACTGGTTCAATTTTTTTGGGATCAACCCTGGTGCTGATATATGTCCCTATTATGACCGGGTCATATTAGTATATGTACCTGGGCATACCCAAATATGGCACAACGCCGGTGGAACATCTTATGACGAAAAAAATCAAGGTGATGTTCAAACTTGATCGGTTTACAGTATCTGGGACGTTCTATGGCTGCTGCTCATATGTGCTTCCTTGGATGAAAGCCGAAAAATAACGACTGGCAAGAACGACTTTACACCCTCAAGCCGCCACTCAAAGCTGGACACGTTTTCTATATAATCATGTCAAAATATGATATGCTCTCAAAATCAAAGATAATGGAGCATGGTAAATGATAAATACAGACCATCAACTGCCAGGATATCTGGGTTCTTTACCCTTCTGTCTAAATATGCAGATTCACTATCTCCCCGCTGCGCCAATGCCAATGGCCAGAATGTCGATTTTGACCATATTAAATTATATCAAGAAGAAATTGTCTCATCTCCACCGTAATGTGGCGAACCCACTGAGAAACCATGCCCAAAATTACCATAAATCGTTGGTAAAAACCATCCCCCAATGGTAGGTTCATGGCCTTGGGTTTACCATGGCCACCTTACATTCTCACCTAGACCCTCCAAGTTCCAGAAACAAATTGTTAATTACTTTGCCCCAACATTGTAACATTGTACTACTTTCACTCAATTTTATAGGGATTTATGGGATACTTGGAGGGTCCAAGATGTCTAAGGTAGACACCTTCTCAGCCAGGCCACACGCGTCTGACCTTCTTCCAGTCCTCGATGGCCGCGGGGGACGGGTGCCCCGGCACCGACGAAGTCCAGTCTTTCGCGTAGAGCGCCTCCGTCTCGTCGCTTCTGCGCGGCGAAGAGCGCAGCTGGCCTCAAAGTACAGGTGGGAAGGGATGTGGGGAAGTGTGGTCACTTAGCAATATTATATGTATATATGCATATGTAATTATATGTTTATATATTCACATATATATATATATATATGTGCATGTGTAAATATATACATACTTGTATATATATATATATATGAATATTATATTTATTTATATAAATTTATCAATCAAAAACCCAGTTATGTGGGATATAACCCAATTACAAGCAATCCACTTGTTGGACCTTTCTATTTCTGGAGGGGTTTGTAAAGTGGTGGAAAGGTCAAGCAGGTGAAAAATTGGCAAGTCATTTGGCAAGCTGATCCACACATACACAAGTTTACCGGAGAGCAATGCTACAAGAGATCAGGCTTCTGTTGTTACACGTCGTGCCTCCTCTTATCCTGAAGATTAGGTGTAAGAAGCTGAAAGAAAATCAGAAAACTAAAACAACCTCCCCCGAACTCCTACGGCCCAATTAAAAAGTTGTTGCGGTAATGTATATACGTATATCAATCTCGCATGTATATGTGGGGTATACAGGCATATCCCACACATAAATAGGTTCTAACATTGCTAACATTGCTGCTACCCAAGTGCACTTACTACCCTCTGGTAATTTCAGCCATGAAAAATAACCATGTGCAAATGATTTACTGGTTGGTGGGTTCAACCCCTCTGAAAAATATGGAAGTCAGTTGGGATGATTATCCCCCATATATGGGAAAATACAATTCATGTTCCAAACCACTATGAAAGTCAGTTGGGATGATTGTTCCATATATTATGGGAAAATAAGAAAGGTTCCAAACCACCAAGCAGTTTACCATGATTTACCCTCTCTCTCTCCTCAGCGTTATCTCCGAGGAGTGGGTGATGATTTAGCTATCACTATCCCATGTGTCCATGGCAATTGCCCATGATTTTCCATGGCATCCATGGCTCCTGGATTTGCTTAAGGCTTAAGGCACCCCAAAAATAAGACAAGTTCCCCCTATGATTCCCCAAATGGTGGATTTCCCCTTGGGAAAATAGGCCAGATTATATTCAGCATGTATTCAGCAAATCCACGATCCGTGATGTTCCTATTAAAACCCTCCATTGAGCATGGATTTTCCATCCTTATCCCACATGTTCACCTGATGTTCCGAGATTTTCCTGTAGTAACTGGGCTGCACCACAAATGTCACGCATGGCTTCGCCAGGTGGCCGTTCATCGCTGAGCTCGTGGGGCTCGTGGGTTGCGAGCTCTGAGCTCGTTGGACGGGCAGGTTGGCCCAGTCCAGGTTGTACATGCCTTCC